TAACATTGTTCTTATGGGGAAGAAATCCAACATGGCTTCCACTAAGGAAGACTCTTAAAAAAAAACAAATAATTTAGTATATTGAAGCGTTATAATGCGCCTAATAGTTACGGAGAAAATTCAAAAAAAATTTTAATTTAAAATTCCCATGTTATTCTTATGGAGAATAAGTAAACTGTTGTAGTTTGCTTGTTTATTAACATATTTGGAAAATGTTTTTATTTCTTACTAACTATTAACATTTTACATAAAAAAACACTTTTACCCCCCCTGTTGCAGCAAACCTAAGTATGTGTTGAACTGATTCTATTTAAATAGGGAATAAATGCGATATTTTTAATGAGATATTTTAGTGTAAATCCAATCAGGCAATTGGAAATTCGCTTAGTCTGCAGGTTTGCTGCGGCGGGGGTATTTGTTATGTAAAATGTTAAAAGGTACTGTGGTTTAGTAAGAAATTAATGTATTTTCCAAATTATGATCAAAATATTTTCATAAACAAGCAAACTACAAAAGTTGACTTATTCTCCATAAGAATAACATAGGAATTTTAAAATTACAATGTTTTTGAATTTTCTCCGTAACTATTAGGCACATAATAACGCTTAAATATACTAATAAGAATATATTAGAACTCAATTTATTACAGACATAATCTATGTGGGGTGTGAATTTCAACTGGCTGTCGATGTGAACGCCCAGGAATTTAGTTTCTGAACAGGACGGAATGAAATGATCGTTGTCTATGGAAATTGACAGGGGTGCTGTGTTTTCTTTGTTTCTGATATGAAATTTGATCATTTGAGTATTGGCACTGTTTACAAACAAGTTATTGCAGCTGATCCAATGTAATATTGAGCTGATCTGACCAATTGCTTTCCTTCTGAGGTCGCGTATGCATGTTGCAGACAACGACAATGAGGTGTCATCAGCAAACAAACATACCCTTCCCTCAGACTCAGGCACACAACTTGGCAGGTCATTAATAAAAAGGATGAATAAGACCGGACCAAGCACCGAGCCGTAAGGAACTCCTGCAGTGATTGCCAGGGGAGGTGAAAATGCAGACTTTGAACAGTTGTTGTCATCAATGAAAGGAATTTGAACTGCCTGAGTTCTGCCGGTCAGAAAAGATGCTATCCCGAGTGAGCAAAGATTGTCTAATAAGAAGCCGTGATCTACCGTATCGAAGGCTTTGCTAAGATCGAAGAAAGATTCCAGCTGCAGCCTTTCTTGAAATCAAGGGATTGAGTCAAAGATGAGACTAGAAAGTGAATGGCATCGACTGTACTTCTATTTTTTGTGAAGCCAATTTGATTCGGGGAAAGAATATTGTGTTTATCAATAAAAGATATCAGTCTAGAAAAAAAAATCTTTCAAATATCTTCGAAAAGGTTGAAACAAGGGAAATAGGACGATAATTGTTTACATCAACCTTTTTACCTTTTTTGTGAAGGGGGCGAACAATTGCATGTTTTAGTTCAGTCGGAAACACCCCTTCTTCAAACGAGGAAGTGATGAGATGAGTGAGAGGAGAGCATATAAGATCGCTGATTTCCTTTAAGAGTTTTGAGGAAAATCCATCATACCATGATGATGACTTAGATTTTAATCCCACAATTTCATGCATTACTTCTGTCTCAGTTGTGCGGAACAAGTAGAAGGAGTTTTAGTAAGATGGCAGAGAAGGAGTATTGGAATTCTCTAAAAATGTCCTGGTGGTAATTTGAGAAGACAGCCTTTGAACAACTGTTGAGTAAAAATTGTTGGAAATACTTGCAACCTCAGATGGCTCATCAACGACAATGCCATTCTCATCCAAAACAGAAATTCTCTGAGTTTTTCCTTATCAATCATATATCAATATAAACTGTTTTTTGCTTTAATACAGTGAGCTTTATGTTCTGCAATTATTTTTCCTTATTTACTTTATATGTACGTTTTTCAACGAAATAACTGTTTAAGTAACCTTATCATTTGAAAATTGAATCGTATGGGTACAGTATTTCCATAAATGCATCAGCGCCTCATATCATTCGTACTAGGGAGCCTTATAAGTTAGCCTAGCCTTAAACAAAGATATTTTTCAAACCAAGAGTTTCAGTTGAGTTATGTTCCTGAAACCAAAGGGGAATGTGTAACTATTTTATATAACAGAATTCAAGATCAAATATTTTTGCTTCAGTGTCCTCTCCGTTGCGAAGCACGGGTACAACAGCTCGTATGCTACAAAATCTTTGTGCAGCACATCAAGTTGATATTAGTGATGGGACAAACGACTGATTTCAACCATCCGATGGTTTTGCTTTCATCCGATAGTCTTCAGATGGATGATTCATCCGATGGTTTTGAGTGTAGTGGGGTGGGGAGCGTTCGTTCTGCTTCCGGACTATTCCGGAGACAGATAAAACTATCCAACTAGAGAACGAATGGATAAACCATCAGTTCGCACACCTGATCAGATAGATAGTTTTGGTTATGTTGGCATTTGGCATTCCTATCCAGCGCCATGTTTCAGAGGATTTACCCGTGCATGAACAAATAGATAAATATATATGTTGAATTAACGTATTGTTAGAAAATTATTTCCCTCTTCCGTTTTATTTTTATTATAAATAAAATTAAAATAAATAATTAGTGTTTCCTTAAGGTTTGTTATTCATTTAAGTTACTGTTGTTCTGAGCATGAGCAGATGATTGGATGATTCACCTGATAATGGATGAATAAATAACCCATTAAATATCCCTGCGTAGAAAAATAAGTGTAACAAATTAACTCATCGGGCAAATAAACAAATATTCATTTCACCATTAAATAAAGAACAGTTTCAGTTGTCAAATAACTAATTCGTAGTTTAAACGAATGAAAATGCGACACGGATAGTTTTACGATTGAATGAAAACGTGGAACGGGTGGTTTTACAGACAGACTAGACTAGATAGTTGATTCAGCTGGTTCACCTGTGATAGAATGGATGGTTCATCCGGATGAAAATTAAAGTAACCATCAGATGAATCGGTTGGCGCGCAACAACCGGATGAATCGTTTGTTTCTATCGGATAGTTCCCATCACTAGTTGATATACATAGTCAGTCATTCTAGAGACTATAAATTCACAAAGAGATGCATTTTGTACCAGTATGAGAATTCACTTCGTTCATTCAATTATAGGTCGACAAAATTTATAGTTCACATAATGCAAAAAGTCTGAACGGATCAACGGTTCCAAGTAATTCTTACCGTGGTGTTCTGATCGTACCTGGTATTGAAAGGTCTTATAGTTCCAGCACTAATGTAATGAAGAAAATATAAACTAGTAAAAGTTAATTTAAATGTACTTACAAACCCCAGATATGCAATAGGTGTCATACTCGCCCGATGTAGTGATAAATTGAACGACTGAAATTGCCACCAGTTGCCGTGCAATTAAATTAATCTTTTAGAGTTTGACAAATGATACAGATCACGTCAATCTACTAATCTCTGGCAAAGCACAGTACACTTTACTCGTATCGTTTTGAAATCTTTAGACAAAAGTGAGTATGTATTCCTTACTCACCTTTTAGATAAAAATGTTATGAGGACTACCTAGACCCTTTCTCGCTTTCTTTACATGGCCGGGACTGTATAAATGGAGACAAGAAATTTTTTAAGTTAAATACCCTCGCCGCAGCAAAACTGCAGACTAAGCAAATTTTTATATATAGCTGGATTTCTACTAAAATATTCCTTAAAATTGTCAGATTTATTTCCTATTTAATTAACATTAATTTTAGTGAGTACTTAGGTTTGCTGCTACAGGGAAGATATTCAGATGTGTTTTTTGTTGCAATGATGATAGCTTAGTATTAAATAAACAAAATTTCCAAATTTAGTTTAAATATATACTGTATCCATAAACAAGCAAACTACAACAGATTATTCATTCTCTATAAGAATTACATGGGAATTTTAAATTTACAATTTTCTTAATTATCTCCGTAAGCGTTGGGCAAACAACAACGCTTCAATATACAAAACTATTTCTTTTTTCAAGCTCTACAAAATGGTTTGGAGAGAAATTATGAAATTTTGTGTTATAGGGTCAAAAATGGGAAAAATTATTTTATTACTCCATAACAGCATGTGGCGAATGTGGTTAACATAGTTTGGGTTTCTGTCATGGAGAGAGGTATATTGGAATCAGTCATTAGAATGCCGCGTCATCCTACGTCATATTCGTGACGTCACGTACGGTAGTTATGAATTTTATATAACTATTATTTTGGTACTTTCCTGTTAAAGGGAACATTAATTACTATCATTATTCATTATTCCTACTTATAGCCTAATAAAAATGTAAAAAATCATGCAATTGCAGTTTAGTAAGTTGCTTTATAATTTTATAGGTCGAAAAAGTTTATAGTTCACTGTGGAGTTGTGATCTTGCCTGGTATTGAAAGGTCTTAGGTCCAGCACTAATATATAATGGATTGAATATAAACTAGTAAAAGTTAATTTAAATGTACTTACAAACCCCAGATATGCAACGGGCGGCATACTCGCCCGATGTAGTGACTCTAAGGGCCAGCGCGCACTATCCCGACCACGAACGATACAGATTTTTCAAACCTTTAAAGCAAACCTAACCTCCTGGCAAAACACATAGACACATTCCATAGGCCTACAAGTCATAACATTTAGAATAGGGGAGCGAGCTGGCGTAGTGGTTAGAGCGCGGGACTTCAGTCCCTGAGGTCCCGGTTTCGATCCCCGCCAAGTCACCAATGGATTTTATCTAAGTGATAATGCCGCAACCCCTAGGTCTAGTCTGAAGTAATGTGAAAAACAGTCCCAGACTCTAATGTTAAACATTTCATAGTATGAAGAAAAATTAAACACAAGCGGACATCACAGCATAAAAAACAACAGAAAATAACTCAAAAGTCATACAACACGATATTTTATTCCCATATTTAAAGCTAAATACATAATAAACACACAAAGAGGTAAAACAAAATACATCCGCCTCCAACACTTTTATTTCTCTCCAAAAACAAAGCCTCAGTAACCAGTGTATTCTATAAGGAACGTGATAAAATTTGAAAACAGTTCTTATGCGAAAGACGATAAACAGAGGAAAGTCACTTTTGTCTCTCATGGCCACGTTTAAACTTGATTCGTGTCCCGTTCAAACTTGGTTCAAACGAGACACTCACGGGGTTCCCAAGATGGTTACAAGATGAAACGACGAATAAGTTGGTTAATTACTCGATGATGGTTACTTCTTCTTTGACGAAAAATTCAACAACTTCCTCCTCGACGTTCTTGGTGTCTGAGTCCAACTCATCAGTGTCAACGTCTGAAAGAAAATCACAAACTAGTCAGCAACCTAATAACATAGACTTTATAGTAATAGAACAACTTAATAATATTCTTTCACATCAACGCCACTGCCACGTTTTAACTCAAGTCTGTTTTAACTCCAAACCCAGGATTTTTATCCAGAAAAACCGATTTTCACCCCATGGGCAGGGTTTAAATAGGATGCAGAATAATACAGAATTTTGGTCTCTAATGCCTGATTATCAATTTATTTTTTATTTTCAGATAAAAAGCACAAATAAATTAAATTAGTTTGGTTTTATACTGCAAAAACACTATTGAAATTTTGAAAAAATTATAAATGGATACTGTATAAAATATTTAGTAATTAAACACCTAACTAAAGTAACTATATTTAAATTTAGGTAAAATAATGGTGAAAAAACAACTGTTAGAGAATGCAAATTAGTGCAAGGGTAGGATTAGAGCAAATTTTAATGTAATAGGACAAAATATCAATTGTTATAGAACTTGATTTTAAATTATATTTATGCAATTTTCTTGACTCTGCTATCAGAATTTTTACTTTGGGTGAGTTCAAACACTGGTTACACTCACTATAACGCAGTTCCAGACGATGAGGTTTCTGCTCCTTCCAGACCTCCAGTTGTCGATTGCGGATCTCTTCAAAGTCCTTCATCAGCTGTCTGCGCTTGTCCATCAATTCCTGGACACAGAAACAAAATGTGAGTTACCAACAACCAACCGTAGGACAGTCTCTAATGAGTATTAACTTACACTCATTAACATAGTCCAAAATAAAATCCAACCTCCTGCCTAATATAGTCCAAAAGAACTTAAATAGGATAGTTTGGGAGTTAGTTGCTTTAAATATTTTTGATCCATACTCAATGACACCATTCATTGTACAGTACATATTATGAATAAAGAGGTCTTATTTTTCATTTTTTTTTGCAGCTTCAGTTAATTGGTTTAAAGGGTTTCAGAGGGGGTTTTTCACAGGTTCTACTGTACGTTCATTTTTGCACTAAAACTGATAAGATAACAATTTTAACATGGGATTGAAAATCTAGTTCTAAACATAGTCAACGCTTTATTAACCTTAAGTCAAAGTTGGTATACATTACACAATCTATGATGTAATGAAATTGAAAATAACATTCGTAAACAGATTTATCTCCAAGCCTATAACAAACCTTAGACGCCTTGGTCATCCTCATCCTATCCTTGCTCTCAAACTGCGGACTGTACTTCTTGAGGTTCTTCCTGATCTCCTTCTGTTGTTCGGCCGACAGCAAGGTCGGGGGTCTCGGCCGCCACAGGAAGTTACAGAATCCATCTACGTTGTTGCGCTTGATGATCTTGCCTTGGAAAGACCAGATCCAGTAACCTGTGTCCACCTATCACAACACATTTTAACGCTATGAATTTAGTTTGTCAATACGTCTTTAACCTTATTTAAGGGATTAATGCAGAAATTTTCCATGGTGATTAAAAACACTATGATTTTACGATGTTTCGGGATCTGGAATCAGATCCTGCAAAGAACACTAACCCAGCCAAGGCTGAAAATAATATAAACTCAAGAGAATTATACAGTTAAAAAATTCTGAGAAAACACTCTATTACAGTTCTGTTTGACTGTTTTTCTAACAGAGAAAGGCTATTTACTTTTTATTTTTTCCTATCCGATCTTTGGCGGTAAGGTAAGGTAATTAGTAACAATCTTGTTTGTTTGTTTGTATCAATTTTGCTTTGATTGTAGAAGGGTTATCAAACAAAAGCCATTACAAATTTAATGATTTATTTAAATCCATATTCCACTTGTAAAATTATGCTTAAGCTGTTATTAAAGTGTGCTACGATCGAGTTACGTAATGCAAGGAAGGGGGTTGTTCAAGCGTTATGTTGAGTTACAAGGGGGAGGGGGGGGTTCAAAATGAGGAAAAAGTGTGTTACGTAATATGTGTAGGCAGAATAAACAATATGGTACAAGGGGTTTAAAAAATACAAAGGAATAAAGTTTTCAGTAATTTTGATTGATCTTGTCATCAGGTAGAATGTGCTAGTATCCATCAATAATGTCAGAACTACATTATTTGTCATCATTGGCTGAATATAAATTTGTTCATTTGGGTGGTTTCAAAAATACAAAGAAATGCCATCAGATAGATTGCGCTAGTATCCATCAAGAATATCAGAGCTACACTATTTGTCATCATTGGCTGAGTATATTTTTTTTTCATTCGGGTGGTTTCAAAAATACAAAGCAATTTCATTAGATAGAATGCGCTAGTATCCATCAAGAATGTCAGAACTACTTTATTTGTCATCATTGGCTGAATATAAATTTGTTCATGCAGGTGGTTTCAAAAATACAAAGAAATGCCATCAGATAGATTGCGCTAGTATACATCAAGAATATCAGAGCTACACTATTTGTCATCATTGGCTGAATATATATTTTTTCATTCAGGTGGTTTCAAAAATACAAAGAAATGCCATCAGATAGAATGCGCTAGTATCCATCAAGAATATCAGAGCTACACTATTTGTCATCATTGGCTGAGTATAATTTTTTTTCATTCGGGTGGTTTCAAAAATACAAAGCAATTTCATGAGATAGAATGCGCTAGTATCCATCAAGAATGTCAGAACTACATTATTTGTCATCATTGGCTGAATATAAATTTGTTCATTTGGGTGGTTTCAAAAATACAAAGAAATGCGATCAGATAGATTGCGCTAGTATCCATCAAGAATATCAGAGCTACACTATTTGTCATCATTGGCTGAGTATATTTTTTTTCATTCAAGTGGTTTCAAAAATACAAAGCAATTTCATTAGATAGAATGCGCTAGTATCTATCAAGAATCTCAGAACTACATTATTTGTCATCATTGGCTAAATATAAATTTGTTCATGCAGGTGGTTTCAAAAATACAAAGAAATGCCATCAGATAGATTGCGCTAGTATACATCAAGAATATCAGAGCTACACTATTTGTCATCATTGGCTGAATATATATTTTTTCATTCAGGTGGTTTCAAAAATACAAAGAAATGCCATCAGATAGAATGCGCTAGTATCCATCAAGAATATCAGAGCTACACTATTTGTCATCATTGGCTGAGTATAATTTTTTTCATTCGGGTGGTTTCAAAAATACAAAGCAATTTCATCAGATAGAATGCCTAGTATCCATCAAGAATGTCAGAACTACATTATTTGTCATCATTAGCTGAATATAAATTTGTTCATGCAGGTTGTTTCAAAAATACAAAGCAATGCCATCAAATAGATTGTGCTAGTATCCATCAAGAATATCAGAGCTACACTATTTGTCATCATTGGCTGAATATATATTTTTTCATTCTTTCAAAAATACAAAGAAATGCCATCAGATAGAATGCGCTAGTATCCATCAAGAATATCAGAGCTACACTATTTGTCATCATTGGCTGAGTATAATTTTTTTTCATTCGGGTGGTTTCAAAAATACAAAGCAATTTCATTAGATAGAATGCGCTAGTATCCATCAAGAATGTCAGAACTACATTATTTGTCATCATTGGCTGAATATAAATTTGTTCATGCAGGTGGTTTCAAAAATACAAAGCAATGCCATCAGATAGATTGCGCTAGTATCCATCAAGAATGTCAGAGCTACCTACACTATTTGTCATCATTGGCTGAGTATAATTTTTTTCATTCGGGTGGATTCAAAAATACATAGCAATGTCATTAGAATGCGCTAGTATCCATCAACGTATTCAGAGCTACACTATTTATCATCATAGGCAGAATATTAAAATTTAATATTTTATTTGGTTAGTTTAAACGCATTAGATTATTTTCAATTAGTCTGACCTCTACCTTAATCAGAAACCATTTCAGATTTATATTTTTCACAGCGTAATAGATTGAGTCGTACCTTGACTTTCCAGTAGCTAACGGCTGTCACCACGTATCGTCCCGTTGGGTCCCACTCCACATCTGTCACTTGGAAGTGGTCAGTGGTGTTCATGACAGTAAAGTCGTTGGTATCGACAAACTCCAGTATCCCATTAGCTCGCAGGTCCGCCAACACGATGAACTGACCCATCGGTGACCAGAACAGGTTGTTGCAAACTCTCTTCTCCAACCTCTCTGTTAAATTAAGTTGTATTAGACAAATTAACTTTTGGATACTGAAGTAGACAGTCATTGTATTTGGACCAGCTGTAGCCTATTTTCATTCAAGAAGAACAAAGTTTGATGACTCAAATTGAAATTTAAAATAACATAACCTTTTCCAATAACTTTCTCATAACAATCAATTTATTAACACATAAACTAAAATAATAATACCGTACTGATCTATTTCAAGGTTGAAATAAAAAAAGTCATAAATTTAACTTTAAAACTAGGTCACGTTTTACCAATTGAATTTATTTAAAGATTTGCTAAAAAAACACGAATGAAACTCATGCAGAACTTGAATTGATAAGTTTTCTTCCATTAGTAAGTCACTCTTCTTCATTTGTGGTCAGAAGACCGTCATGACAAATTCATCATTTTGAGTTTCTGTGGGATGTTTACAAACTATAAGCAAATCTACATTAGTTTCTAAGCAGTTACAAAAAAATATTAAACCTATTTCCTTCCATTCAATATATTTCCTTCTTGAGAATCTTATCACATTGATATTTTGACATTAACCTGTTGTTAATTTTTTTTAACAAACTGCATTTTTACTGGAGCATTTTTAAAATCCTTAATTTTAATATCCTAAATATATTATATGTACATTTTCTTCGACTACAAACTAGTAAAAATATGTTGTTGGAAAAATAAAAGAATACACATATTACTAAAGCCAAAGAAAATTGAGTTACAAATTGAAAAGCTGAAAATTAATGTAGCCTACAGCACCTAGTAAATTGTTATATGTTCTAATCAAATAAAACAAGAAAAATAGGCTGGAAGTTGGGGATTTTAATTTTAATGAATGATGCTATCCAACCAAAGGTCAATTCAATGTTGGATAGTAACGAGACCATGGTTTCGACGGTTCTCTTAAAAGAAAAGAACAAATTCGAAAGAGGTAGCAATACAAGCCATCATCACTCAATTCTACACACATTCTTCACACTTTACTTGGGTTGAGTTTGAGATAGGCCCAATTGTGTCCCCATCTCAATAGTTAATATTATAGGCTTGGTAATGATATGGTACTAATACTTATTGTTAATAGTTCCCCTTTGTTTTGTCTTTCAAAAAACATTTGATTAAGAAAAACAAACATTATTTTACAGTTCATTCAAAAATATTGGTAAAGATGTAAAGATTAGCATGTATTATGTTTGTGTGTAAAGTTTACTACGGTTCTAATCTGTTAAGTTATACGTTAATAAGTTATAAGTTAATATATAATAAATTAAGTTATTAAGTTGTACCAGGATTGACGTTTTACAGTGCAAACAATGTAAAGCTCAGATCAGAAAGTCACTTTTCAACATAGCAGGTCAGAAGACCGTCGTGACTAAATCATCATTTTATGAGCGTTTCAGACAAAACAAGCTAAATAAAGTCTAGACTCAGCAGTGAAACTATCATTGAACTTGATTGTAAGAATAATCTATTAACTACTGATTGTGCTGTGGAATTTTAATAAAAAAGTTAAGTACAAAATAAAAATAATTTACCTTTCCTACGAGGTAAACAACAAGGTACACTTACTTTTTATTACCAACCCATCGTCTGTGACACCACAGAATTTTCCTCTGGGCGCATTTGTTTTTACAGAGAAATATGTGTTATCGCCACTCGGTAACTTTGCATCTTTCCAGGAACCGATTGAACATTATTTAGATCTCACACTTCCCCCCGCAAAACTTCAATTAATCAGTTGAAGCCCCAAACAGTTGCGTAGCACGGAGACCGGCTCCGTGAGTCACCAATGGTATTGTTGTTTTTGTTTGCTATATATTTTTTATAAATATATAAAGTAAGAGTTTTTATTGATTTCATGAACAATTGTATTTATTATACTTGGTTTTTATAAGTTTTAGTATTAATATATGTACAAATGTTGTTTGTCTAATTTTTCAACACACAGAAAAAAAAAACTCCATGTGTCGATCGTGCTGTTTATGTTTGCTATTTTATACTCGTAAATATGCAAAGTAGGTAAGAGTTTTTAATGATTTTATTTACAATTTATTGATTATAAATGGCTTAAATACATTTTTGCATTGTTATATGTACAAAACACAGTGTTTGTCTAATTTTTCAACACAAATAAGTAAATAAACTACTTACTCAGCATGGTAGGTGTCTGGCCGGTCTTGACACTGTAGAAGCTAACACAGATGTTCGGTGATTCTCCATGAATGATGGCGAACTTGCTGCCTACTGGCTCCCAGGCGAATGCATGGATTTGCTCCTTCACCTCCTCACTATCTTTGGGGATGTTCTTCTCTCTCATATGAAAGATCTCAAAGTTGTAATACATTCCCTGTAAACATAAACACGAGTATAAATCCAAAACGGTAGATCCTATTACTTTATTTAAAGTTGTTCACAAGGTTTCACCTCTAAACAGATATATCTTTCCCAGCAACTACCATATCTTCTTGCACATGAAGTGGTTAGAGTAGTAGCAGTTCTTTGATAATGGAAATTTAAAGATATGGTCACAGATTGCTTCAAAGCCCAGGCAGCAGATTTTTATAAAGACGGAATTTGGAAGTTTATTCCAAAAATACAAATAGTCACAATTATAAGTTGAAAACAATAACAAATAAAATCTAACCAGCTGACATTTAATACATAAATTTAACCCATGTCTTTGGCTCACCTTGTGTATGAAATGATTACAATAATTGTACTTACACTGTATTTGGGCTGGTCTCCCTTCTCCTTCTTCACCTTGCTGAACCTGTCCACCTTGACACACAAGTAGTCTCCAGACTTCTGCCAGTGCATTGTACAGGAAGCCACGTTGAACAGGTTGTTGGCTCTGATCTCCGTACGGCTATAACAGCATTAATAACATTAATTTGTGATAGTGACAAAACTCCAATTAAGATGTTCCTTTTAACCCTTTGATGTGAGAATCTTCTGGAGGTTATGTTGGTTTCAAACGTCTAGCAACACAAGTTCATATTTAACCAAAATAAAAGAAAAAAATCTTTTTCCTCTAGAAAATTTTGGATGGAAGAAATAGAATATTGGTGCTAGAGGGACTATTACAAAATTGTTTAATGAATTAAAAAAAAATCTTCCACCAAAATTAAATACCCCCGCCGCAGCAAACCTGCAGACTAAGCGAATTTCCATTTGACTGATTGGATTTACACTGAAATGTCTACTTAAAAATATAACATTTATTCTTGATTTAAATAGAATTAGTTTAACAAGTACTTAGGTTTGCTGCATCAGGGAGGGTAAAACTGTTTTTTTTTTTTTTTTTTTGTAAAATGTGAATAGTTAGTAAGAAATAAAAACATTTTCCAAATTTGATCAAAATATGTTCACAAACAAGCAAACTACAACAGTTTACTTATTCTCCATAAGAATAACATGGGAATTTTAAATTTACAATTTTTTGGAATTTTCTCCGTAACCATTAGGCGCATAATAACACTTCAATATACTAAATTATTTGTTTTTTTAAGCTCTACAAAATGGTTTGGAAAGAAATTGCTAAATTTTATGTTTTTTGGGTCAAAAATGGGAAAAACCTATTTTTACCCCATAAAACCCCCCGTAAACCCCCGTTCCCATGGTCCGATCATGCTGGATCGCGAACTCGTTCGAATAAACATACGTTTACACGTTTGTACCAAATTTCATTAAAATCGGATCATTTTTGCTCGAGTTATCGTGCTGACGGACACATATATATACAATACAAAGAAGACAGAAACAACATTTTAAATATAGTACACACACAAACCACTAATCCTATATTTAACAAAATTATAAGTGTTAGAAAAACCAACAACTAAACATTCATTCACATAGGTACTAACAAAATTAACAGCTGTATTTATTCATAACATAATATTTTTGTTTGAAATTAGGTTAACACACTTGAAAATGTCCTTAGAGACGAAACATGTTGTGATTTATTAAATAAAAAAGAATATAAAAAAAGGGTACTCATGTTATTTTACATATTATTTATTAATATATATATATATATATATATATATATATATGAATTTGAACGGATGGTATTTTTGGCCTCTAGGGACCTCAAAACGAAAAAAAAAATCGGTCCCGCGTCCAGGTCTTACCATGAGTACTACGGTAATAGCTTATTCCCTATATGGGAAATTCGCTAAAAATGAAATAGTCATTAAAGTGTTATAAGGATCATGTAAAATCATTCAAAATCATTTATATGGACAACGTTATTAATTTAAGTTACATATTATTTATTTATATGATAATTTTTTTTTGTTACTGTGTCTAATAGGCAAAGTTCATTATAATAAACTCAGTTTTGAAAATAATAAAATTCTTGTCCCAAAAGTACAATCATGTCATCCTTAGTTGACAGTTGACTATCCGTTTGGTTTGGATTAGAAAATTGACGTGTTAGAGACAAAATCATTAATTGACATCAGTGCATCTGCTCGCACCGTGAACACCTGTTTCTGGCATAGTGGTTTAATACATATTACTATTAAAGGTTGGTGTACCTGGGTATCTCAATGAGCACTACTCTAGCAGGCACGTCCTTGTCTTCAGCCACCCAGTAGGCCAGAATGTTATCAGTAGGGGACCAGCTGAAGTCTCTTATACCATTGAGCTTGAAACTCTTCTTGTCCAGTAGACCAAAGGACTGAAAACCACAAGGAAACATTCTCGATTACAACTCAAGACACTTGACTTTTCTTTGAAAATATGAACACGACTTTGATAACTTATTATACAACTTATACCTGTAGGTCTAAGTTTATATGAGCAATTTGGTATTCATGCAAAGGCACCAATAGTTGAATGAATTAACCGCTTAATCAAAACCAGTAACTTAAAATACACACATATCCAATCCACCGGGGTTGTTCATAAATTAACGTGTCCAACGAGCTCAAGTCGCTATCAAGCAAGGTAGTTCAAATCTAACACCAGGACCACATTCTTTACTTGTTAAACTTCAGTTTTAGTCTGTCCACAATCCTATGCAATGATTAATCTCGTCCTCTAAAGAGAACATCAACACTCAGTATGGATTGTATTCTGTGATTATGTTTCTGTGGTCTAAGGGGCCAGCCACTATCAAACCATGGCTTGTTGATGGACATGAATGGAACAGTGGTCGGCTATGGGTGAACACACACCGTCGTGCAAATGTGTATTGTCTTCTGCAAACTCCTTGAGGTGATTATGCCAATCTTGCTAATCCAAACCCTGCTAATCTGAACGTCTGGCTAATAGACACCTCTTGAGGAAAAAGTTTTCTTATTTGAAAATAAAAAAAACAAAGCTGAATTTTTTCAAACAAAAATTAACGAGGAGACCAATAAAACCAGAATTTGTATGTAAAATTTGATAGCCCAGAAGAAGCTAAATAATTTTTTTGATTAGATAACCAAAATTCAAAACAATCACCAATAGCGTATAATCGGGCATCTATTCATTACAGCATTCTGTTGGTTCTCTTGTCCAAGTAAGAATGCCTCCTTGTGGGAGATGATCCCTAGTGTTGCCGCAAATGCAGTTAAAAACCATCAAAATTATTTCTTCAATTGCTGAACATAATCACGTTGTTTCTGTAATCGCAAGAAATTATTTAACTTTTTTTAATTTAATTTTTAACAGTGTTATCATGGTCGCAGGAGCAATATACAGCCATTTGCAATCATAGCAACACATTTTTCAATTTTTTATTTCCGTCTGATACTCCTGTAATACGACGACGGTCCAGTCTCAGTTGAGATTAGAGTATACAAATGTTTTACATCCAAACACTAGCATTCGTCAGAGACCTTTATTTACAGACAACCTGGAGTATAAGCCACAAACACTCACAGGAGTCTCATAGACGGACAGGACGTCTTGACCAATACGGGCAAAGTATTTGTCATCCTTGCTCCAGCGGAAGATTGGCCACACAGTGGTGCCGTCAATGCTGAAGGATCTCTTCTCCAGACCAGTACGGATGTCCCAGATGATCACCATTTTCTTGGGGTCGATGTTCTCTGCACTGGGAGCAAACGTCACCAGATACCTGTCAAAAACGTTTGTTAAACATGGATTGCATGCAATTGAGGTTAAGGATGTAACATAGAGCACAAGGACTTAAGTTTCAAGGATTTTTGTAAGGATAACAAGCTTGACTAGACAATTCACTCTAGAACGGAAAACACAAAATGTTTTACACTTACCAAATTGAGAATGTTACACTGTCACTGCCAGTCTTTTCAACCAAGGAATGATTTGGGGTGGGAAAAGAATCTGGTCTAATATTAGGCCAGGAACATATTGTTAACACAGTTGCTAATATGCAAACATTTTACCATGGGATTAGGTTATATCTTCTACATGTATAGCCTACACAATTTTGCTGCCAGCCCCCCATTGACTTGAAAAAGCCAAACACAAAATTTCCTTACAAAAAAATATACGTTAAAACATCTTCTTCAAATGCATTTCACTATCAAAACTACTATCAGTGATTTTTTGTTATTGTTTAATTCGGATGTAACAGCCAAACATCGTTAAGGAAGGATCACAATATGTTAAATTTGTGTTACAGAAATTCAAACAAATACAACTTTATACCAGCCCAAGCCCTCTTTCACACCAGCGTGGTGCCGGACTTGTTTGTAGACTATTGAATCATATAGGAGCTTTCACACCAGTGCGAGTTCGCCTGGACAGACCTAAACCTCTATCTGGTTTGAAAAATCACCAGCACGAACCTAAACTTTCCATGCGGGATGGGACCGGATGACTAGTTGTTAGAACATCGGCTCTTATGTACGCTTTCAAACTTGTGCGGAATGAGCTGGTTTTGCCCGGACTTTTGACAGTCTGTGTCTACCAGTGATTGAGTGTGGTTGATTTTGTAGTACTCTTTATAACTTGATAAGGAAGTTGTTTTCGATGTGGAGGAATTAATTTATATCGGGCACTTGATTAGTTTGGCCGCGCCGTAGCAAACCATCCATGGACACAGATAGTCCTGTACAGATTGTCTTATTTATATGGACACAGTTAGTCTTGTACATGGATACAGATAGTTTTGTATATGTACATGGACACAGTCTTGTATATGTGTATACAGGCAGAGAGCGTGAAAGGCCCTTTCAGGACGTTCCGCATCAATGGTACGAGACGGGCCCGCACCACACTGGTGTGAAAGAGGGATTATTTACCACTAAACCCAAATTTACCATGAAATATTTTCCTGCTTTAATCATCAATCTTTGGTCATTTTATAATACGCATACATATCTTTAAGGGAAGTTGCTACTGAAACTAGTGATTTAAAAAAATCCTTTTAAAAATTATCATATATACTTTTTTGAGTTCATTTAGTCTTAGAAAAAGATTTACTGCTGTTAAAGAAAGAAAAAAAAATTTGGTACATACTTTTTGGAGTTTTTAAAGTTTTTGGCGGGAAAAAAATGGGGTTTTTTAAATCTCTTATAACTATTTAACTACTGAACCAATTTTATTGTTTGATATCTCATTTTAAAGAGCAAAGAAAGCACAAACTTTCTCTGCATACTCATGTTATTTTCTCAATAAGTTTATAAGTTATGGCTTCAAAAATAAGTTTTAGAAAAATTTCTAGGTAATAAATTTTTATAAATTTTTTTCATGTACTTTTATTTACCCAATTACAATATCCATGCACAGAAAGTTGATTTATAGTATAAACTATGTTTGGTAAAAATTTCATTCTTATAGCTGTAATAGTTAAAAAGTTATAAGAACTTATATATATATAAAAAAAAATTTTAAGTCGCGAAAAACAGCGGTTAAAGTTTATACTAGGCCTAGTTGATGCCCCAAAAGAGGTGTGCACGCTTCACTTCAAATATTTTTTTCACAGTGATAAAAATATATATTATACCAAATGTTATGTTTTTCTGAAACCTTACAATCCATAGAACAGGATAAAAAAATAATAAAATAAAAATAAAATAATAAAAAAATCATGATTTTTACAAAATTGGTAATTTTTCAGTAGCGACTCCCCCAAGATTAAGATAAGAAATTAAAGATTAAGAAATTTAAGTAGTGAGGAAATCTTTACATTTACTAGATAGTCTATTAGAGAAGGCCTATTTAGAAACATTAAACTATTATCTGTGTAAAATCTAAGAATATTTAAAATCTATGACGGACTAACGTAAATCAGTAAATTATACTCATTTATCGTATTTTGCTTGAGTTAAAACAATTTATGATATCTAATAACAGGCAATTTAAAAATGTTTTTGATTAAAACCTGCCATCAGTTTTACAAAGTGTCATTCAAAAACATTCAGCAGAACGAAAGTTAAATTATCAACATCATGTGGCAGACCCAATTTATTGAACTGTAAATACATTTAAAACTTTATTTCAGTAAAACATGTAACATGTAAATTAGTGAGAAAGTTTTTAATGTAACAAATAGTCAAATGTCACATTTGTAACAATTACTGATATGAATAAATGGGCTGATAGAACAAAGCTCAAGACAGAGCTGATAAGAGCCCAAACACTTCATTAATACATCATACCCCATAGTAATCTTATCATCTAGTGATTCACTATAGGCTATGATTTAGCAGACTATGACGACCAAGCTTCAGAGGTTAATCACCTTAAAATAAAAACAAGCTGTAGTTATTAGATTCTAAAGATTTGTATTTTAAAATTCTGAACTTAAGTAGTAATTCAAATAATACCCACTTTACAAGCCAAAACATAAGGAATTCTGTGTGAGTTCCTAACTTAAACAGTCAAATAAACCTAATTCCTATTAGATCTTAAATTTTCACCATCAGTGGATACTTTTCTTTCAAGAGATTTCAGTAGAACGAAAGTTATTTGAACATCATTTGGTGATAAAACTAGCAACATTTTCCATATTTTTTGCTGATTACAAACTTGTCAAAAATATTTTGTGTTGGCTTCTTGAGTCATTGTTTAAATGATAGGTGCTTTAGTTAAATTTATCAAGCTTGACATATAATCAACAGGAAACGCTGACACCTTATAGTTTGAGGATTTAAAAGTAAAATGAACATAGTCTATTTACATCCAAATAGAGAATGTTCAAATTTTCACCATCAGTGGATAGTTTTTCTGTCATAATGTTTCAGTAGAACGAAAGTTGTTTTAAACAACACATGGTGAAATGGTTTGTCATTGAAAAATAACTTTCACCCAGCTACCCATCTACATACCTTTCGCAAGGAGAAAACTCAATGTATGCCACGCCAGTGTGGCCAAACTTCATCGCTTGCTCAAACTTGGGGCCTCCCCACAGGGCAATGCCCTTGTAATGGAAAGTGGCTAGGTACGTGCCCAATGGAGACCACTGAATGAAGGTTTCTGTCCATCGCTGGAAAACAACACTCGTAAACAGATAGACACAATCATTGTAAAGACAAAAAAATTTATTGTCATAACGGTAAGTAAGGGCCTTGGTGTGAAAAAGGGAAGAAAACCTAAAATGTGCCTATAAAATTGATACAACTTAGAAATTTAGTTTCACAAGAAAAAAATTACTTAAGATCATCAATTTTATCTTTCAAAACAAAAAATGTTACCAAATACACCAAAATCGATTCTCGGTTCTCGGTTCCGGTACCATAGATATTTTTTTTAATTTTTACTTTTTAGGATAGCCAACTTAATTACTATTGTTAAACAGAATATCCATATTTCAATTTTACAGTATTTTGCATAAGTATGGGTCGGTCATACAAAACTTAAGAGATTAAGAAAATAAAACTTATTTGTACAAAAAAAAAACACACTTAAATATCCGAACACATGTAAATCAAAATAATATATTGAGTAGCAGAAGTGTTAAAAATATTTGATGAAATTGGCGATGGGTCGATACCAAAATTTATAGATTCTCGATACCGATAACTTAAAAAACAATTCTCAATACCAATACCATTTTTTTAATAGTTTTACCAAGTTTTTCTCAATTACTGAAACATCATCAAAGTTTTTCACGGTCGCGGCAAGGTCATGAACATCTTCTGCGGCCGCGTAGACATCATCATGAACTCCCACTGTCACGGAAACGTCTTCGTCGTCGTCCGCAATCACAGCAAAATCATAAACATCACCTGCAGCCATGTAGACATCATCATTTTCTTAGTCGTCCGAGATCGCGGCAAAATCATGAACATGTCTTGCAGCCAAGTAGACGTCATCATCGTCTCCTGGGATCGCTGTAACGTCTTCGTTGTAGTCATGATCGCGTTCGCGGCAAAATTATCTCCCATAGCCGTGTAAACATCATCATCAGTGACTCCCGCTATCCAAAAAACGTCATAATTGTCTTGCACGGTCGTGGAAAAATCATGAAAATCTCCTGTGGGTGTGTAGACATCATCATTAACTCCCGCGGTCACAAAAACGTCTTCGTCGTCGTCCGTGATCGCGACAAAATCATGAACATCTCCTGCGGCCATGTAGACGTCATCATTGCCTTTGTTGTCGTCCACAATTGCGGCAAAATCATGAACATGTCTTGCGGCCATGTAGACGTCATCATTGTCTCCCACGGTCACGGAAACGTCATCATCGTCTCCCACGGTCACGGAAACTTCATCATCGTCTTGCGCGGTCATGGCAATATAGGTAATTTTCCAGCATTACCGGTGATTCGGTGACGATATTTCGGCAACGGTTCTCAGATATTTTACCAAGAACCGGCGGAACCGTCATTTGACGTGAAGTACCGACCCATCACTAATTTTAAGTATAGAACAGTAACATTTAAAAAGGTTTAACTATAAAAGTAAAAACCTGATAAAATGTTGAACAAACCCTTGTCATTAGTACTTTACAAGCTTTTCATATTGTATATTTGAAATATTTTCAAAAGTTAAGTGAAAAATCAATGGCGATTTAAACTCTATGGATTTTAAAACAATTGTTAAAAATGTTGAGCTGGTAATTTTTTTGCCATCAGTAAAATGAGTCTTCTTTCAAAGATTTTTCAGAAGAACGAAAGTTATTTTGAAACATCATGTGGCAACAGTGAACAATGATCAGCTTTTGGTAAATCTGCAGAATGATTTAATTGCAAGGTACCAGTACCGATATTTTGCCTTTGGTTCTCGGTTCTTTTGCCAAGAACTGGTGAAACCGACATTTGACGTGAAGCACCGACCCGTCACTAATTTTAAGTATAGAACAGTAACATTTAAAAAGGTTTATCTATAAAAGTAAAAACCTGATAAAATTACGATCAAACCCTTGTCATTGGTACTTGACAAGCTTTTCATATTGCATATTTGAAATATTTTCAAAAGTTAAGTGAAAAATCAATGGCGATTTAAACTCTATGGATTTTAAAACAATTTTTAAAAATGTTGAGCTGGTAATTTTTTAGCCATCAGTAAAATGAGTCTTCTTTCAAAGATTTTTCAGAAGAACGAAAGTTATTTTGAAACATCATGTGGCAACAGTGAACAATGATCAGCTTTTGGTAAATCTGCAGAATGATTTAATTGCAAAGTACCGGTACCTATATTTCGCCATCGGTTCTCGGTTCTTTTGCCAAGAACCGGCGCAAAAGACTATCCGTATCCGAACCGAGCCCAAATTTGATATCCGACACTATCCGTTATATATCCGACTTTTTCGGATAGACAACATATTTTGATGTTTTGAACAGAAGAACTTAATCTTCATAACCATCATTAGTTTCCCAGGACAAAATTACAGCAATACGTCCAACGACGACGTAACAGCAAAGGACAAAGAAGCCGTATGATGCAATACCGATGTCTAGTTTATAGTCGTTATCAACGTCGTTATCGGCTGTTTTGCTTTACGATTAGATTCGTCTGGAACGAACAGACATAAAACAGAAAAGAACGACTATGGTCAACTACGACCTTGAAGCTATATATAGACCAGCACTACTTCCCTAAATCTAAAGGACTGGCGAGTGGTATTTTAATCACAGGACAAGATACGTTATTTTTCGGGTACCTATTCATTGCCCGGTTTGACTTTGTATTGTCTTATTGTGTAGAAACTATGAATAATCAAAAATAAAATTAGAACTAACCACGATTATTTAGCATTGATTGTGTATATTGAATGATTAAATGATAGGGACCAGGGGATATATACAAACTTTTGTCATGATTTGAATTTCAAAATCAAAATACAATAGGCCTATTGCACAATCATGATATTTAAGGTCATTGACCTTTATTATGCATCCGGTATTGCTGTTTCAGAAGAGAAGCACGTTGATAAACTATAAATTGATATTCCCGTGGTTAAAAAGAATTATTTTATAAACCTATAAAACAAAATCATAAAATTTTACATAAAGATAATAACAATAACGGCAATTGTAAAAAGGGTATAAAGAGAAAGCTTGTAAAAAACTATTGCACAATCGTGACTTGACATTGGGCTGCTTCAACTTTAATTTTTTTCAAATGAACTGTGATGTTAAAAATCAAAATCAATAATTTCGGACTATACTGCATAACAATAATGGACTGCAATAATTGTTGAATATACAATCCATTTTTTACAAACTGAGATTATACTATTCAAATACAATTTTAAAAATTATCTTGGTATTTTACTTGAAGTAATGAAGCTGTAGGCTAGTGTAATTCTCGGTTCATCAAGGTTCTACTGAATTATGTTTGGCAATGAATAAGTGTTGAATGAAATTTATAAATTCAGGGATACACACATTCTACAGAGTTATAAAGCCTAATTGCCCTAATTAACTTGCCACAACATCAAATCTAGAGCCCAGCTTAGTGCATTAGTGATGTTTTCTATACTTAGCAAACCCCAAGAACGCCACTTAAGGCCAATAATCCGTTCCAAAAACGTAAGGAAATACAAAGTGAAAATAAACTTGCGATAGAAATCCTTGTCTTGTGAGAACCAGGAAACAACATAAAACATAACCTCAAGTAAACAACCCCAAACGTTTTGACATCAGTCCTGCTGAGCTAAAGTGTTGTGTGAAGATTTCGGCTGCTAGTGTACTTAATTCAAGCAACCAACTTTTGAAAATAATGTTGTGAACTGTGATTTTCAAGAGAGAGAAAACTGTGGACGTGGCTAATTTGAAACTCTGTAATTTAAAATTGTCATTTAAGTTTATTTACACAGCTTTACAGTGTATGCTTAATAGGTTAAAAATGCATATGCAGCTTATTATTAACCGCGCCGAACTATCCGAATCCGAAAATATCCGAATCCGAACCTCCCAATATCCGAACCGAGCCTCAACTATCCGATCCGAAATGAAATTTCACTATCCGCACACCTCTACTAATTTTAAGTATAGAACAGTAACATTTAAAAGGTAAAAACCTGATAAAATGTTGAACAAACCCTTGTCATTGGTACTTTACAAGCTTTTCATATTGCATATTCTAATATTATAAATGTAAAAGTTTGTGTGTTTGTTTGTTTGTGTGTTTGAAGTTCAATCACGCATAAACCACTGGACGGATTGGGCTGAAATTTGGCATGATGATAGCTTACATTCCCGATTAACATATAGGCATATAGCTGCCTCCCAGAAGGCAGCGATGTCGGCGAGGATCGAATTGAAATGAAAATGAAATGAAAATCTTTATTCTTGAGCGTTTTTCATATTAAAACATATGTTTTTCAAAACAACTCACGTCAACATAAAGAACGAAAGTTATATTTGAACATCATGTGGCAACAGTGCACAAAATTAAATTTGCATGCAATAAATCAGCAAAATGTTTTCAGAGATCCTTCCCGTAACATGAACATGATTACCACCATGTTTTAGAGATTGAAATGTCTATCTATAAAAATCCTATTTACGAATTTAGTTAGTTGAATGTGTCGCCGCCTATACTGCCACACCAGATACAGGCAATGACAGGTGATGTGCGCGCTCCGGTCAACGACCTCACTTTGGCCTACTTAGAGGGGATTTGGCAAGCGAAAGTATGACTCATCTGGTATTGTTTGATTCATAATGAAACGAGGAAAGTCCTACAAACTTATTTATGATAACCCAACCGCCGCAGCGTGCTGTATAAGGGTGACCTCAGGATAATACCAATGTACCAATGGATGTAGCAAACTAAGAGATTAACACTCCAGTATTTTCATGAAAAGGCCATGGGTAGTTGTTAAAATTGGTGCGAAAGGTACCCAAGTATCTTAGTTAAGATATAACTTAAAACTTTTGTTAAATTTTGCATTCACCAGGAAAAACTACATGTTTAATTACTAGCGGAAGACTGCTAATCAGCTTACCGCCGAGTCCTAGAGCGCATATTATCAGTAACTGATAAGATAGTGAAATATAGGTATATCCAGGCAATATTAACTTGGAAAATCCCCTTGTGAAGTGTTGTTTGTAATTTACATCATTATTGGGATCGTATATTAATTCACAGACATTATAAAGAACTTATCATATTATTTATTATTATTTATTTATTTGTCATGAGAGCCGAAACCCCCTGACTGCATACCCGGTACCTATCCGTTAGGACATACCCGGGCCCCATGATGTAGGCCGAAGCTTACGCATCAACCTTTAGCACATCATGGGCGGATGACTTAAGGTCATCAGGCTCGCCGGCTGCCGAAGCAGACCCTTCGGAAGGAGGGTTGCCCCTCAATCCTAACCAGGGATTCCGGCTGCTTGTTTAAGCGTCACTCCACCTGGGTTCCACTAGGTCAGGACCTAGAGGTCCATGGTAGAGCGCCCCGACGCATTTAGTGCAAGCAACACTCGGGACCTATCTAATCCCTGACAGGCAGAACCCGCCATCAATAGCCAGGAGGAAGGGGACCGTCAGCACGCTGACGGGGGGAACCCCAACCTCCCATTTACACCATTGCCCGATCGAGGCCTTACCCATTGCTGGGAAACCAGAGATAACCAGAGCGATAGATCCCCAGATACCCCTGGCGGGCTCGGACCCAGCACCCGATCTACTTCGTTTGCCCGTCAGACCCAACATCACTGCCAGGCCATCAGGGTTTCCCAAAAGGAGGCAGGTATAGAAGTGGGACCCACCCGGATGAACCTATCCACCAGAGGTGGCGACACCCTTGACTCAATTGAGGTTCCGGGAAGAACCCCCCACACTCAAGATAACCATACCGTCCGTAACTTATCATATGACAGAAACAGTCTAATATAAAAAAAAACCTCAAAACGAGTAGACTTAACTCACCGATCGCTCCTCCAGCTTAGTAGGTTCAGGGGCCGAGTTCTGCATGATCTGCACCATGCTGCCGCGGTTGGTGATGACAGAGAACTGATCGTAAGCGTCAGCGTCCATCAGGAAGCTGTACAACTCTGTCTGCTCCTTGTATGGCTGTGGCTGGGGCGGCTCCCACACCTCAGGAATCTCCTCATACCTGTGCAGATATGTACAACACTGTCAGATATAGGATTACCAAGCAGATAAATCAAACAACTCTAATATAGGTGACACTACTTTGCATTTAGTAAATAAAGGGGTTTTCAGCTGGGTAAATATTTTGAAACAAAATTGCTGAACGCTTTTGCTGAGACTTTTAGTAAAAGTTTTGCGTTGCTGTTTTAGCGTACATAAAAAATATAATAAATGTGCCATGTCATATTCTCATAAAAATAGTGACGTGAAGCTGGCCCGCCCATTCCAGCACACTTTTTATTAATGTATACAAAAAAGTGTGCTAAAAGTGTGCTCTTTATAACTGCTATTAAAAAAAAAGTGTGCTCTTATAATAATTATGATATAATCAATTGTATTTGGGTGGGCCAGAATCACGACTGGCCCGCCCATTTCAGCTACAGATCTATAAACCATACCAAAAAACTGTGCTGAAAGTGTGCTCACAGGAATCATTAATTTAAAAAAGTGTGCCGCCCCCGTTACTATACAAACAACCCCTAAATGGTAAGGGTAATAAAATGACCCAGCCCGCCCATTTCAGCTACAGATCTATAAACCATGCCAAAAAACTGTGCTAAAAGTGTGCTCACAGGAATCATTAATAAAAAAAAGTGTGCCACTCCCGTTACTATACAAATAACCCCTAAATGGTAAGGGTATAATAAAATGACCCAGCCCGCCCATTTCCGCTATAGATCTGTAAACCATACCAAAAAACTTTGCTGAAAGTGTGCTCACAGGATTCATTAATAAAAAAAGTGTGCCGCCCATGTTACTTAACAAACAACCCCTAAATGGTAAGGGTAATAAAATGACCCAGCCCGCCCATTTCAGCTACAGATCTATAAACTATACCAAAAAACTGTGCTGAAAGTGTGCTCACAGGATTCATTAATAAAAAAAAGTGTGCCGCCCCCGTTACTTAACAAACAACCCCTAAATAGTAAGGGTAATAAAATGACCCAGCCCGCCCATTTCAGCTACAGATCTATAAACCATACCAAAAAACTGTGCTGAAAGTGTGCTCACAGGATTCATTAATAAACAAAAGTGTGCCACCTCCGTTACTTAACAAACAACCCCTAAATGGTAAGGGTAATAAAATGACCCAGCCCGCCCATTTCAGCTACAGATCTATAAACCATACCAAAAAACTGTGCTGAAAGTGTGCTCACGGGAATCATTAATAAAAAAATTGTGTGCCACCCCCGTTACTAAACAAATAACCCCTAAATGGTAAGGGTAATAAAATGACCCAGCCCGCCCATTTCAGCTACAGATCTCTAAACCATGCCAAAAAACTGTGCTAAAAGTGTGCTCACAGGAACCATTAACTAAAAAAGTGTCCCCGCTTCCTATCGTATGTAATTTAGCTACACATCATGGTGGAAGGAAAAAACATAGGTGTGCTATTCCCACAAATTCTGACGTCACTCGGATTGCAAACAAAAGATCACCTGATTGTGACTGTCAAATTAGTATGCATTTGTTTTGGTTTGCTTGTTATTGTTTTTATATTAATAAAAACAATAACAACCAAATCAAAACAAATACATATACTAATTTGACAGTTACAATCAGGTGATCTTTTGTTTGCAATCCGAGTGACGTCAGAATTTGTGGGCAAGTCAACCTTATTTCTGATTAATTTCAGGGTGCGCTATGTTCGGGTATTCGGACCCGAGAGGTTTAGTCTGTGCCCCACTTAATAATTGAGGTCTTAAGCGATGAAGAGAGGTTTAACAACGGTGGAATGGATGTAGGGGTGTTAACAAACGTGAAATGCTCCCAGGATGACATCCCAAAAGAAATACGGTACTCTGATAGAACATTCACACTTAGAGGAGTCGTCGTGTTCATACCTCCTGCAAACGACAATCACGTGGGACACTACACATCATTAGCATTAAGAAATGACAATATTTGGGAGTTGTACGATGACCTTAGAGATAAAGTCATCACACGTTCTGAAAAAACAGAAGTAATTGTACATATTTTGTTGTACACAATCTAAGGTAAAAGTTTTTATAACACAATCCCGCAACCAAGACTAATTTTGCCCCAAATTTAAACCCATGAGTAAGTTGTATTCAATGACAATAATGTAAAATGTTGATAAAATAATACACAGTGAATCTAGTAGGAAACTATTTACTGAGAGGATAGGATGTATTTGTTAAAACTACATCAAGAATAATGGTTTTTTTCTAGGAAACAAGTTATTAACATCAAATTTTGTCCGTCATTATTTTCAAATCTTTATTCTATTTTTTTAAACTGTTATTGCTATTATGCGCGGTAGCGGTCACGACTCATGCGCGATAGCCTCTGCCATAAAATATTGTAAACAAATGTTATTCTGTTTAAAGTTCAAGAAGGATACCACTTTAATTGATTACCACTACCGGTAACTATACATTTCAAAAGGAAAACTATATTTTTTGCACTCGAAAAAGAACCTTTGACACTCGTTTTAACTTAGTACTTTTTGTTTCCCATCAAACGAAATGCCTCTAGCATAGAAAAGTACACTAGTTCTGTTCAAAACATAAACCAACATGCATACACTTGGGAAATATTTTTTTATATACAAAGCCAGGCGGCCAGGCACATTCCACCATAAATTTGAACAGATTAATTGTTATCTTTACTTTACGAAGAACTCTTCTAAAACTAGCAAGCTTATATTTTACTGTAGCATACTCTAGTAATCTTGATAAATTGAACAAATATTTATTTCAAACTTATACTCCTATAATTGTTTATTCCATGTTGTAGGTTACCAGTTTCTTGTCGTAAAAAAAATATTATGTACCCTAAATTACTATCGCTAGCCTGGATACATTTACCGAAACTGAATGCTGTGGTTTTAGACATTGACAAAATTATTAAATGCTAAGCTTTAACCCTTCTAAGGGAAGTATTGTATCCATGTTTAAGATTATGTTTGTTATAATAACTTGGTTATTTGCAGCAACTATACGAATAAATATATTCCCTTTATTCATGGGACTTAAGTTTTTTATTGAGACCTTTTATTCTTTTCTATAATAATCATCTAAGTTATTGGCTTACAATTCCTTTGCAAAATTAGGGTGTGCTAAATCAAATCAATTAAATTGGCGTTAATCAACAAATAATGCATACACAGAGTAAGATAAAAGTAGTTCGAAGAAGGAAGTAGGCCTACAAAAATCTCACGATGGTGTAGAAAGGATTCTTCATTTTATTACTCTTGCCAATTAGGGGTTATTTTTTTACTAACGGGGCGGCACACTTTTTTTATTAATGATTCCCATGAGCACACTTTTAGCACAGTTTTTTGGCATGGTTTATAGATCTGTAGCTGAAATGGGCGGGCTGGGTCATTCTATTACCCTTACAAGTTAGGGTTTGTTTGTATAGTAACGGGGGCGGCACACTTTTTTTTATTAATGATTCCTGTGAGCACACTTTCAGCACAGTTTTTTGGTATGGTTTACAGATCTATAGCTGAAATGGGCGGGCTGGGTCATTTTATTATACCCTTACCATTTAGGGGTTGTTTGTTAAGTAACATGGGCGGCACACTTTTTTTATTAATGAATCCTGTGAGCACACTTTCAGCACAGTTTTTTGGTATGGTTTACAGATCTATAGCGGAAATGGGCGGGCTGGGTCATTTTATTATACCCTTACCATTTAGGGGTTGTTTGTTAAGTAACATGGGCGGCACACTTTTTTTATTAATGAATCCTGTGAGCACACTTTCAGCACAGTTTTTTGGTATGGTTTACAGATCTATAGCGGAAATGGGCGGGCTGGGTCATTTTATTATACACAAACCACAAACGTGAGCAGAGCATTAGCATTTATTAAAAGCATAAAATTGCTAACAGTGTTTAAAACGGCATTTTGTTAAGGCTAAACAAGTCAATAAAAAAACTGGCAATGATTCCGGCGAGGAGTGGTATTCAAGCAATTAACTTAGGCCTATGGGCATAATATAGTTTTTAATAAAAGTTTGAAGGAAAGTAACTGTGACCAGACTAGGGGGCGGGAAATTATTTGGGCTTAGGGGCGCAAAAATTCTAAATCCGGCCCTGCACACGGAACTTGACACGAAACACGGAATACGACACAAAACAAACACGCAGCAAAACATTAAAAAAACTAATCGGCCAGACAGTAAACTACACCTAGTAGGCTATCTAGTTTAATTTACTTATCTGGCAAAATTAAATAATAAATTCATGACAGAGCAAACAGAGTAAATGTACAGTGCCAACCAAACACCGTTAATTCACCGTAAATTTACCTAAGATTTCACTACTTGTCAACCTCCAATTTTAATATTATTTGACAAATAGACACAGCTTAAGTTAACCTACAGGGATCGGGTAGTTCACACAGACTAATTTTTAACCCACATTTTGTTTTGTGCAAGGAGACACTGGCTCTACAATTCAAACCAAAACACAATTTTTTCAGTCCACTTACTTCTTGAAATCGGTGAAGAGGTTGACCAAAAATGTATGCTGCTTGTCCAGCTTATGGTTGTTGGCTGTGTTGACAGCTTCAATGGCATTCTCAGGACTGACGTACTCCAAGAAAACATATCTGCAAAAATACAAGATAAAAACCAGTTAAAAATTGAATAATTTATTGAATAATGTTTAAGACAGTGATTTGTTTAGAACAGGGTGTACCTATACTATTTTTTTTTTTTTTGTAAAATTCCATGCTTTTTCTTGGTTTAAAATTTTTTTTCAGGTTCCCGCGTGAATGTTTCTCACGTGAACATTAAATTAATTCCCTTATACATGTTTAGGGTTAGTTCCACTTAAACTATAACAGGGTGTCCAGCAAATGGGCTCAGCCAAATTCCCGCATATTTCCCGAGTAACTTCCATTTTCCCGAGGCATTTTTTTAGGGTAAATTTAGCAATTAATGAGTTATTTACAATAACAAGTAAATTTGAAGCAACCTTTGTACACTGTACCATTCACGTCTACTATATTTTACAACGAGTAAAATTCTATGTTACAATTATTTTGCATCAGTTAGTTGGAATTTTTATAATAAGTGAATTTAAGATTGGCGGGGTTCTAAGAGTATGCCTAGTTGATTAAAATCACGAAACGATTAAATAATAAGAATACATAAAATTAAGTTAGTTAATATTGCACAATAATATGTAAAAAATCACACGAGTCATGCAATTATTACTAAGGTGGTCTATACTAAGGAAGTAGGGGAACTCAAATTCAAGTCATTTTCGCTGTAAACAATAATAACCAAAATTGTTGTTTTGACAAATTGTACAACAGTAGGCCCTAATGACGTCCTAATCAGAAAACAAACCTATTCTCTCATTCCCTTTTGCTATCTTGTCAAGCGATTCTCGACCTTCTTCTGTTCTATTATGCCAAAGGAGAGTGTAGTGCAAAAAACACGCAACATTCGCCCTTCTGATATTGGACGAGCACAGTTTGGACAAACGCTGCAGTTCAAGCAATATTAGACCTTCCGTCGGTAATCACACCGCCGGCAAAAAAACCTTTATACTAAATAGAGAGTGTAGGATTCATTCATGGACAAATATTACATTACATTTATACACTAGACATACAAATTTGATTAATTAAGAATGGAAACATCATTGTCGTATTTCGCGGTGACGTTAACGTCATCATATACTGCGATCGCGGCAAAATCACAAAAATCTTCCGCGGCTGTGAAACATCATCATCATCCCGCGGTCACGGAAACATATTCGTCGTCGTCCTCGATCGCCGCAAAATCATGAATATTTCCCACGGCCGTGTAGACGTCATTGTCGTCTCCCGCGGTCACGGAAAAGTCATCCCGTCGTCCGTGCAGCAAATAAAAGTTGGTATGCGTATGGAAAACTAATTCAAGCAAAGCTGTTATCAAGAAAACAAAAATTAGAATCAACAAAACAATAATTACACCAGTACTTTTATATGGAGGGAAAAATTGGATCCTGAGCAAAAACTTGGAAAAGAAGATTATAAACTTTGAGAATTAAGTTCTAAGAGCTACATATGGTCCAGTGTGTGAAGATGGAGTACCGTGGAGAATAAGCACAACTTAGAGTTAAGAGAATCATTCAGAGACCCCGATATTGTAGGAGAGGGCAAAAGCAGAAGGCTAAGGTGAGTTGGCCATATCTTGAGGAGAAATGCAGAGAGCTTGTTGAAGAAGATACTAAGGGGAGATCTGAGTGGTAGGAGACCAGTAGGATGACCAAAGGCTAGGTGGTTGGATGAGACTAGTAGAGGAAGATTTGGAGGTCCGAGAAAAATGGCGACAATGTGTTGGCAAGGCCAAGTACCAGCTTGGGTACAAGTGGCCATGGCAGTAAGTAAGTAAGCCAACTGGTTTGCTTACCTTCAAAACTGGAGGTGTCTGGTTCAATTCTACACGAGATAAAACAAGGTAGGCCTACAGAATGTAACAAAATCGGGATTTGGACAGTTCTCTTACAAACACATCAGAAAATGCCACATGTTAAACTTAGTGTAAAAACAATAAAAGAAGTAGGCAGGCCTAAGTTAATACTAACCCCTTGGTTTGACCAGTCTCGGATTTTGGGAAATACTCATTGATGATGTTCCCAAATTTTGAGAAAAACTTTATAATGACAGAGTGAAGCTTTTCAAAACGGTCTGGACCCACTTGTGGGATACCATCGACCACAATGATAGAATCAACTCCATCCTTCTCCTTTGGCCGGTCTTTCAACAGGTCCCCCAGCAACTCTGAAAAATTTTAATTGATTAGCTCTAGTCTATTTCTGTAGTAAACATTCCTGGCCACAGTTATATGACAGATTAGGCCTATACTATACTAGGTCAGTTATGAGAAAGTCTGAATTTACAATGTTAATTCATGGTTGTCTTAAGAAAAAATATTTAACCCTTTGCTGCTCTGAATTGTGATTCTAATATTATGAAATTGTGTTAAGTTTGTATATTTAAATGTTAAAAGTGTGGAAATCAGCCACATCATATTACACATAATATTCAAGCACTTAAAATCTTAGCCTTGGCCTACATCATTAATTGTAAGACTAGATTACTTACGTCAATAGCTCATTGAATCGTGAATTTCACTTCATGTTTCAGTACATGTTTCGACACATTGTCATCATCAGCTGAGTACTAACTAGTGAAGTTTTTATTCACCATATGGTTTCGTCATTGTTCAATTAAATAAATACGTAACACGTAATACGAATATGACACGACACGGAACATATAGCCTACATTTACAACACGTTAAGCTTTAAGACATGCAGGCCTGCTCGAACAAAACACACGGTCACGCCGCGGGTTGGGGACAGCCGGCGTGACCGTGTGTTTTGTTCGAGCAGGCCTGCATGTCTTAAAGCTTTAAACGTGTTGTAAATGTATATGTTCCATATGCACCATATCTTACATGGTGCAACTGACTTGAATTTTTTGTTCACTTTAGTGCCTAATTAGAGTGTTGTAATATTGTGAGATAAAGTTCATCTGCGTAATAAAGTGCAAGTTTAGAATCTTATCTTTCTAAAGATATAAAAATTAACTTAGGCCTACCTACCATATTCAATTTTACAATGGTTTTTTAACCCTCCGAGTGTCCATAGTTTAGGCCTCAATGTCCTCCTATTTTTGGCGCATTTGCAAGGTTTTATTAAAACGGATCTGAGAAGCTTAAAACAATGTTAATTCTACTGTTCTATATACCATTTTGTTTGGAAAATCATGGGCTTCAATATTATATATAAAACATAAGGAACATTTATTTAAAAAAAAGTTTTTAGGTACGGGAAAAAAAAATATTTTGGAAAGTTTTCAAAAAAAAAAGTTTGCGCTCAATGAAATTGTATAAATTATAGGCCTATAAATATTTGAAAATAGCCACTTTGTTCTAAATTTTATGAGGGTTACAAATATATAATCATATAGTGAGGTAAGTTAGGCCCTATCAAATAAATAAGTTATGAGTGAAAAACAGATTTCAGTACATAGCGTTTAGCTAAGAATGCATAGCCTAACCATAGCTAGGAATCTGGCTGATAATTTACATCAATATCACTACCTACTTCTTCAGAATCATCAACCAGCCCTTCAAAATCACTTAAATCTTCTTATAATGCACCACGTATATCACTACTTTTGATTCACTAAAACAATGATAAACGTAATAAAACACATCAGTCATCGGTCCGAGGTTAACCAAGCTGTTTACAAATACGCTCGTCAGCTGTCTGCTACAATATTTTCGGAACTAAAATGAAAAACGCTTAGAGACAGACCTCCGGAGAAAGCTTAGAATCTAACAAAAAGAACGATACAGTACCTAACTCGATCCAGTTCAATCCGATTCAGTCAGTCATAGAGCCTTCGCCGTAAACGATGTTCGTGTGTCGAAAAATCGACAAGTGACACTACACAAAGTGTGTCGTGAGTCGATTTTTCGACAAGTGACGCTCGGAGGGTTAACCATTTATCTGGTTTTCACCAAAACCTTGCAAAACGCGACTAATATAGTCGCTGCCACTACAGAATACACCTAAGTTACCGCGACTAGTCGCGTCACCAGTTGGAGGGTTAAGCCTCTGCCTTAACTACCTTACGTAAGTTAGGCTAACTTAATATTTAATTGGATAGGCCTAACATATATTTTAGCTCTCTACAGAACTGTACCCCCAAATAGACTTGTGAGCTGATAGGTGTACAGCTTTAGCACCATATCCCTTTCAGACCCGGGAATCTTGGTCATCTCGACCGCTTTAAGTCCTGAGCAAATTTTGAATAAATGTTGGTTTTTAACCTAGATTTCAAATACTAAAATTATTGATTAGGTTTGTTTTAAAGACGAAACCTTCATAATACCATATTAACCATTTCAGTTTCAGCAATAATTAGCATCATATACGTTTAAAAACATAAATAAAACAGTCATTAACCTTAACAGTTGTCTCTTTCTCCTATCTTACCGTGACATTGCAACAAAACAATCAGTGTTACCATAAGACATGAAGGCAGACTGCAAAACAAAAATTCCCAGCCGATCTCCATAACCTACACAATCGATGCGTACAGGTCTGAGTAACAGAAAGATCCAGAAACTTCAAAAAAACAAATAAACATCTAACCTACACAATTGTGTTGGTTAAGTTGTCAGGACTTAAAAATTTACCTACACAAATGAGTGTGCTGGGTCTGAAAGGGATAGGCCCTAGGCCTCGGCTAGGTAACCATCTGTTGTGGTAGGTTAGTCCTACGCTTGAGAGGTTAACCTCATAAATACCGATAAAAACTAAGTACGAGTCGCAGCATCCCAAAACAGAAACGTAAAAGGAAATTCAATAATAACAAAAATTTGTTATAACGTCATTGAATTGTGTATAAAAATGACATTAGGCCTATTGAAATACAATCATAAGGAAGAGGAAGGGCGTTAAGACGGAAGCTAATACACATTTAAATAATAGTGTTCATAAAATACCTTCATCGGAAACCTGATCCACATAATTTTCGTCGTCACTAAAATTCGGTTCTTCGTCGTCAGCAGCTTCAGTTTTGGTATTTTTATTATCATTTTGGGCACTTTTATCCGTCTCCTTCTTCTTCGCCATCTTGGAACCCTCGTGGACAATGGCGGTGAAAGAGCGGTGTGGTGGCAATTGGCAATCAGTGTTACCACCAACCACTTTAGCAGAGCAGACATGTCTTTAAAACTTAAAAGGCTGTTACTAAAATTTCGTAACCAAAGTTTCCCACAGTACTATACAAAGAACATACAATTTGTACTTAGAATCTGTTAGTGTGAACACTGGAGAAGTATCGAGTAATCAAAGACATTATTGGAAATAAAAAGGTTTTTAAGCACGTTTTAGATGAGTTGTGGAAACTGAACAGTAACCAAGTAGTCTTACTGTATTTGTGAAAAATGTGTAACGCGAAAAAAAAACATATTTGCCAATAGATTCGAATAGTGCTCTCATCTGACTGTCATAGATTATTGAAATATATATATCTGATCTCTTGGTTTTGGGTAGATTTTACCAAGGCCCCACTAGGCCTTGATTTTACCCATAATTTTACCAGATAAAACCATCAAATAACCAACACTACACATGGGCGTGCCCAGAGAGGGGCAGCGGGCAGCTGCCCCCCCCCCCAGAAGCCAGGATAAGGTATAACAAATTGAGATCCAAGAAAATGTTATTAGTATGAGAAAAGATGAGTTAGATCATTGACTATATAACCACATATAACACTAGTGTGGGGGTCACCCCCAGCGACCCCTGTTTCAAGTACGCTCTTGACCTCCCTAGTTTTGATCCCTTGCTACTTCAGCTAAACTTCTCATCCCATTGTAAAATTTGAAGCTTGTTTTCGTGTCTAGTTTATGTCCGTTGACTGACAATGATCATTAAAGTGTCAACAAAATTTCGTTTATATATTATTTAAGGGTCAATTTAATGATTGGTGCTTTTCTGTTTGGTTATATAACTAGAGGACGAGTTATTTTTTATGCGATAACATCATTTTATTTGGCTAAACGAGGTTTCGAATAATTACTGAAATTATATTAAACAAATTGTAAACAAAACACACGACTTCTACAGTGCACCGGACATAACTAACAATACAATTTTTGGCTTCAGCTGTTCCATAAGGATGAGAAATCTACTAAGAACGTATGTTTCATCTTATGATTTTACATCTTATTCTACTCTCTTCTGTTTCGTTGTGACGCTAGACGACAACCAATAATTAATGTATCCAAATATACATCCCAAAGTACCCATGAACTTTTGAGAAAACTATAAGTCACACACCCATAAACCACATGTTAAATATGTTCGTCATGACAAGAACTTTGCGCAAAACTATCCATTATTTCATCAATTGCCCTTTAAGGCCGTAATTTATTTCTAAAGGGAACTTTCCATACACCTACAGTTTTAGCAAAACGGGAGTGCCGATGGAGACCAGGTCAAGTAGCTTTCAAACGCACGCACCCCCATCCCAGGTCTCCATCGGCAATCCCACTCCCGTTTTAATGTAAAAAAAAACCTTAGCTGTTCTTACTTATTTGTATATGTTATTCTTTCAATTTATTACCTTACTAGCTGGCCCGACAGACGTCGTCCTGTCATAATTAAGGTGGTTTTATGTCAATGCTCGTTCTCTCGTTCATTTTCAAGATGAGCTCGTTTGGATGGCTCAATCCTGGTTGAAGTTCTTTTGCTACGCTTACTCACCTATAGGTTGGGGCTCCGGGTTCGCTGCGCTCACTTGCCTTCAGGTTAGCTCGTTCGGTACTTTCCTGTTAAAGGGAACATTCATTATTTTCGATATGATTTCTTTCGATATATCGATAATTTTGTTTTCCTTTACGATCCATACCTTCTGTTTTAATATCTTCAAACACATTTATATTACAAATTGACAACTGATCCTGTTTAGGCAAAACATAAATTATTGTTCTAAACTAACCTAACATAACCAACCAAACTTGCTGGGTTTGCTGTATCATTTCAAAATTTCGTTTGATAACAGAAAAGGCATGTGAGTAATATGAAACGGAATTTGTAAATTTTAGGGTCTGACTTAGGGGAGGTACGAATGAGGCATTTAGTTCAAAATTCCTCCGCGAACAGCGCTGTAGTAGAGAGTACCCATGTAGCACAGATGGTTGGGCCAACGTTGGTAAATTGTGGAGCCACACAGTTGGCCAACGGTAGAAATGTCACCTCTTTAAACTGTTTTCCAGCCAACCATTGTCCAACCGTTTTATTTCACACAAAATAATAAAGATTTAGTACGAAAAGCATAATTATTAAAAAGATCATATAAACGAACGTTCTTTGGTGTGTTGAGTAAATTGATTAAATAGTTCATAAAAACAAATTTTGAAAAAAAAACTAGAACAAAATTTTTTTGGCCCAGACGGGTCTCGAACCCGGGTCCTTCGACTTATGAGCCTCTTACTTTACCACTGAGCTATCTGTGATTGCTGATATAGAGTTTTCAAGTGGTGAAAGAGTAGCCGACAGTTGCAATGGTCGCAATACTTCAAACATTTTTGATACTACACAGTATAATATGATTCTGTTAATCTGTTAAGGCATCATAAGTAGTTTTTTTTTTTTTGAGTTAGAGAGGATACTGGTATTTGAATGATTAATTAATTACCGTTAGATTGTTAATGCTATTATAATTGCCTGTTATATGATTAATTACTCTTTCCCCTTAAATTGTTGCAAATAAGTTAAAGAATATTAATTTAAAAAATATTTGCATTATTAAAATTATTAAAATTCATTGTTGTAGCGCCGGAACTGTAATATATAAAATATCTGGTTTTACAATACCTTTATCAGTTCCAAAAACTTTTGGAAACTTTTGGAACTGATAAAGGTATTGTAAAACCAGATATTTTATTATAATTATGTTGTGAAAGCTAGACCCAGAGAATGAAAGTCGTGTAAACTGAACTATGGACCATTGTTGGTCCAACAAAAGTATCTTTTGTTGGTCCAACGGAGTGAAAAACGGTTGGACAACGGTTGGCTTGATGTATGATACCCAGCAATGCATATTAATGTATTTCATTAACAATGAACCAATGTTGGTCCACAGTTGTAAATATTGGTTGGCCCAACTACGAGTTATACAGTTGGACAACGGTTGGTTGGTTGTGGAAGCTCGAACCAACCATCGACCAACTGTCCCACAGTTGGCCAACGTTGGCCCAACCATCTGTGCTACATGGGTAGAGAGCACTTTGTCAATGAAGGTTTACTATTCGCAAAAATAGTTCTGTTCATAAAATAAAATTATAGCCTAAATGCCTCAAATTCAATTTTATAATTTTTTATTTATAAAATTAAACTATCATAACCTAACCGAACTAACCAAACTTGCTGATAATTAAATAATATAAAAAACATTAGTAATAGAAAAAATAATTATGTTTATTAAATAAATTTAGAAATTGCTCAATTAAAATTTTATAATGACCTAATAATAAAATTAAACTGTCATAACCGAACCAAACCAACCAAACTTGCTGATAATGAAAAATCTGAGACAAAAAGTTAATGCAACCAGCGAGATTCGAACCCGGGACCTTTTGCACGCCAGCCCGGCACGCTAACCACTGGACCACCGAAGCCGTTGACCACACTCCGTATTGTTACGGTAATAGCGTTCCCTCAGCTAATAAGAAGCCCACAGCTGTCATCGTAGCCTCTTCCGTACCTCCCCTGAGTAAATACCTAAATTTTACAGCAAGTTTGGTTGGTTAGGTAAGGTTAGTTTAGAACATTTTCATTTCAATATAATATTTTTAAATTGTTTGTTGATACTGAACAATATTTACTTATCGTAGTTGTCAGCTGACATCTCGTTCATTATCGGATCAAAAAGAGAATATCAATGTATCGAAAGAAATCATATCGATAATAAATGTTCCCTTTAACAGGAAAGTACCGCTCGTTCACTACGGTAACTCGCCTCCGGATTGAAGTTCGTTCGCTACGCTCACTCTTTTTTTGGTTTCAAATTAGCTGTTGTCATAAATAAAAAAAAATAATAGTGCTGCACCCTTTTGGTAAACATATTAACTTTTTATGCTATATTGAACATCGCAGAATCAGATTGTTTAGTTGAACCAGCTGTTAAGACTCTTAATTTCCATTTAAATATAAGTACTCATAAGGTTAACATGGGAAACTCCAGAGCCACTGGGGCAGATCCCTTTTGACGGATCTGCACCAAACTTCACACAAACCATCCTTGAATAATGTTAAAAATGCCTGTAAAATGGTTTCGGAGTCCATAAAGGACAAACAAACAAACAAACATACATTGGATTTTATATACAGGGTGAGTTTTAAATGAGTTCCCCCCTACTTTTTTCTACATTTCTTAAGATATCCACTCCGGACCACGTCAGATCATTGTAGAGTCGTTGTAAAGTGCTTCATTTTGACTGGGTATAAATTTTTGGCCGCCATCTTGGATCCGCCATATTGGATGCAAAGTTTTTTTTTTCAAATGTAAAGGTATAGGGTTGTGACCCATCGTTTCAAACAAATATGTTACGCCAAATACGATGCTGCAATCCGTTTAAAAAATCTTGATCCATTCTAAAGTTATGAGTACTTTATAACTCTTTTTTAGTCCATTTTAACGTTGTGCATTTACAAACTAAGGCCATAATCTCACAATAATGCTAGATAAAGATAAGTATACACCCCCATTGATTGTTGACCTATTTTCACTTGGTTATGATTGCCGAACCTTTATCTAAAATTATTAACCAGTGTTTGATACATTGGAATTTTTCCGGATAAACTAAAACTTTCCCAAATCTCACCAATATTTAAAAAGGGCCTAAAATCGGATATTAACAATTACCGTCCAATTTCTGTATTGAGTAATTTTTCTAAAATATTTGAGAAGGTCATAAATTTGAGATTGGTTAGTTATTTTGAAAGCAATCATCTTTTATAACAAACAATTTGGATTCAGGAAAAATTTAAGCACAGGTTCTGCACTAACACAGTTTATAAATGAGGTTACTCAGGCTTTGGACGGTCTCAGGCTACAGCTGGTGTTTTCTGTGACCTGTCCAAAGCTTTTGACTGTGTTGATCACTCAGTCCTTCAGCTCAAGCTGAGTGATTATGATATTAGGGGAAGTTGTCACTCTCCATTGAGTTCTTACCTTTCTAATAGAAAACAAAGAACTATAATAACACTGGATAAGATCAAGTACTATTCGCCATGGGAAAACCTATCGGCAGGTGTGCCCCAAGGTTCAATCTTAGGTCCTCTATTCTTTCTAATTTACATTAATGACCTCCCTAAAGCTATTGATCAGGAACTAATTATTTTTGCAGATGATACAACAGCCTTGATAAAAAATAATAGTACTGTACTTCTGAAATGCTATCTTCTCTTGAAAATGAAGTTCATGACATGGAGGGTTGGTTCTTGAACAATGGATTAAAACTTAATCTTGAAAAAACGCAAACAATAAAATTTTTGGTTAGAAACAATGGTAATAAAATTGAATTCCTTAAATTGGCAACGTCTCATAAATTTCTAGGTGTTTACATAGATGAATCACTTAAATGGGATGTACATCTGAATCAATTAAAAAGTAAACTTAGATTCATGTCAATTGTATTTCTGCACTTAAGGGACTGTGTTCCTAAAGAAACTCTGAAAATGGTTTATCATGCTTATGTAGAATCAGTATTGAGGTATGGTATAATCTTATGGGGTCAGGCTACCGGAGTCAAATCAATATTCAGGCTACAAAAACGCATTATCCGTATTATGATAACGCTCTCATCCACGTAGTTCATGCAAAAACCTTTTTTGAAATTAAAAAATCCACACCCTAACAGGACTGTACATTTTGGAATCACTAAACTACATTCATTCAGCTAAAAACAACCTCCCAGAATCAATTCAAATCAACCATAGATATAATACTCGAAATGAAAACATTTTAAGATTTCCAAGGCACCATTTGACCCTTTATAAAAAAAGTCCACTATATGCTGGGCTGAGGCTGTACAATGTGCTGCCTGCAAACTATAAATTGTTAAATTAAAATAATTTTAAAGATAAAATAGGTGAACTCTTAATTGACAGAGCCTTTTATTTAATTGCAGATTTTCACAATGCCCCTTTAGTTTAGAATAGTTTTATCATTAAATTTTGTTAATTTATATTATCATCTTGATTACTATTTTATTTTTTATATTCTGATAATTTTAACTCTGACAATGCACCTATTCTGTATGTAGGTAACACATGTAAAGAATGTTATGTGCAAATAAAATATGTCTATGTCTATGACGGATGTATTTTTTTCGGTCGCGATCTTTGATCCGCCATTTTGAAATGTGATAAATTATTTTAAATATATATATAAATATTTAAATATATATATATAATTATTTAATTATATAATTATTATTATTTATATATAAATATTTATTATATAAATATATATACATATTTAGTTGTGGTGTAGAATGGGAATAACGGGAATAATTGGGATACAGTAGAACCAAACAGTATTCAACTGAAAGGCACTGATTTTCGATACAGATATGAGATAGATAAATGTTGAGATAACCAGTCCTCGATTTGGGGGAGGGGGGACCGCAGCGGAACGGAGTTCCGGTACAGTCCCTCTCTTTCAGAAAGAAAAAAATTAGCATAAGGTTTATAAAATATGTTTACAAAAGGCCGTTTACAGCGAGGAAAATCAATTATTTTATGTCCGTCAATGGGGTCAGGTCAGGTTGCTTAGCTTTACAATATACATTTAACTGTATTTTTTGTGTCCATGCCAACTTTTCACATCCATTTATAACACCCGAAATATATGGTAACTAAGAGCTGTAAGAGCAATTTCCTTCGTTACATTATTGTTGAAGGCAAATGAAAGAAAAAAATTAGCATAAGGTTTATAAAATATGTTTCATTTACATTAAATAGTCTACTACAGTTCTGGCACCTCATTTTTTACAAATCAATCACTGGAGATAACTAACTTATTTATTGTTTTACCTACAGCGGAATTCAAAATTCATCAACAATTTGTAAACTATAATCTAAAAAATAAAAATAAAAAAATAAAAAAACTTGTTTCAAATAATTTTATTAGTGATGAAGGTTAACAGTTGTCTGTTTCACATATTCTACATTTTAGATATTCTATCTAAATATAAAAAGGCCGTTTACAGCGAGGAAAATCAATTATTTTACATTTTATGACAGTAGTTACCAATTCTAATGTGAGAAGTAGTGTATGTATAGGTATTTTTTTTACTTTCTTTGTCGTGTTTGTTTGGTTTTCTCTATAAATTTGTTTATTTCCTCTCCAAGGGTGATGATATCTTGCACTGAAGTTCTACAGCAGCCACTTATATACTTTACTCCTAGATGCAGCCAATCTCTACAATACTCTGCAAGAGTTTTAGGATCCCCAGAAGATTCCCATCTGAAAAAATATTTGGTTCATGTTGGATTTTGTACAAACCAGTATTCAGCATTTTCAAGGATTTGAGGTAGTCAGGAAGAGAAAGAGTGGTTAAAAGTATCCAAACTCATATGTATCAAACAGGGCCGGTTTAACCCATACGCGAACTAAGCGGCCGCATACGGCGCCACAAAAAATTGGCGCCGTGGCGCCAACGGAAATTTTTTTTTTGTGAACAACGTAATTTTGTTTATTTTCGCTCAGAGTTCAAGTATTCAAAGCACCACAATACAGGCATTTATTCTGTTTGTACCAACAGCATATGAAAAATGCGTATATTTGTACAGCACTACAACTCAAGGACTTAATGCCATTTGTAGTTTCGATTTGTAGTGAGCTGACGCTCGGCAGTTGGCAGTCGGCAGCGTACTACAGCGCGGTACTACAGCGCATTTCATGACTCATGTTCTGAACCACATTCTGATGTTCTGAACCAGATTGATACCAACTCTGCAATTAAAGAATTTGCCAAGATCAAAGCTAGGAAAATTAATTTTTAACTGCTAAGAGCTTTTGAACTGTTCAAATTGATAATTTTGTATTCTTTTTGTCAAGGTAATAAATTTGGTTTTTCATGTTTTCTTCATGTTTAATGTGTTCAATTAAAAATTCCTCTCTTGTCATCTATCTACACCTGTTTTTCATTGTAATAGGCTTTAACTTATATCGTATCCAAGTTTTCCTGTAATAGTATATTACGTTACTAGTCCTGAAAAAAAGTGTTTACTGAACGAGTGTGGTCGTTCCCGTGCGAGACGGTCGAGTATGGGATTGCCATACGAGTCCGGTTAACACATTTTGGACAAGTTACGTACGATAGTTTACGCCATACTACTAAATCTGTACAGATCCTTACATATTACCACCAACTAAAGGACTAAAAATCACTAGTCATAACCTTTAAGAGAGGTTATGTTTTTTTTCATAACCACTCATTGTCGGTGAGCACTTTTTCACCTCAAATTAGTTGGCGAATATCGAAACCGAAAAATCGATACTTTTACAGCTCGATTTATCAGTAGATAGTAATGGGAATAAAATTCAATGTCAACAGTTGAAAAGCTTATTGCTAAGGTTATGTTCATTGACCAGAATTTGTTTTAATAAAAAAACTGAATATCATCTGATGGAGGCCAATTCTATTACCTAATTTGTATTATTATTGTTAGTATCAACCCAGCTCTTGTAAAAAATGCCAAAATTCCTCTCCTTCCTGAGAGGGTGTGTAATTTACTCTTTTCTAACTCTTAAGACTAATTTTAAAGCATAATGATGAATTAAAAATTACAAAATTATGACCTTGCTCGCAGTTCTTAGAAATTTTAATCCTGATTCCTTCATTAATCTTATTTTTTGTCTGGAGGTCGATATGATTATAGTATCTACTCAAGAGTATTGAATTTTGAATTGAATGTAACAGTAACTTATTAGTATCAATTTAATCAGCTCAAGGGGTCTCTTTTATAAGAGGCCCACTTAAAAGGTTTAACTTATATTTTAAAATTTAATGGCCTATTGAAAGTTAAAATTAAAGCCATTGTGTTTGTAAAACTTCTTAGTCATTCACAGTCAAACCAATAAAATTTACTCCGATTCCAATTCGATTACTCTAAAACAATCGAGCGGTAAAAGTATCGATTTTCCAGTTTCGATATTCGTCAACTAATTTGAGGTGAAAAAGTGCTCTCCCTCATTGTCACCCAAATACAGTGTAATCAGCTGATTGGTGTCCGGTAAAACCACAGAAAACATATTACGTAAAACTCATTACAGAACAGTAGTACGCAATGAAACCGCATTTGATTAAGCTGGCGGCAAACAGCTGTTTTCTGGACTAAATCCTTGTGTGGGAAGTTCGTCAAAATAGTGTAGTGTGGCGTAAAAATTGTTTTCACATTTAGAAATAAATTGTTAACTTAGGCCGTGATGCTCGTCAAGCATGACGTCACGATAGAAGACGGCAATGACGTAGGTATTCATTTATTTATTTTCCAAGGGAAGATTAAAACAAGCAGCTGATCACAAACGGCAAACATTACGTCATTGCCGTCTTCTATCGTGACGTCATGCTTGACGAGCATTACGGCCTGTTTTTTTAGTGTAGCCTTGGTTTTGCTAAAGTTTATACGATGAGTAAAAGTGTAAAAATGTTAAATTCCTGGGAATAATAAACAGTCTTTATTGCAAGTATTCTTCTAACCTAAACTTATAAAAAAGTTCTTCCCAAAGTCTTTGGGAAAAAATTCACAAATAGAGTTAAGTAATGTTCATGGGTTGAGGGTGGGGTGGTGGGGGGGGGATTCTAAGTGGCGCTGATTCGGGTGTTCGCTTAACTCTGAAAAATTCCTAGAACCGGCCATGGCAAATAAAGTTCAACTGTAATCAGTAGCCTCTAAAACTCCCAACTGTTAGTGTGTGATGAACTCTAAAATGCTTCCGAGAAAGCAAAAATATGGAAAAGATAAAGATTTAGTCAGAAGTTTGGTAAAGCATAAAGTGTAATTTGTGGTGACAATGTATGATTATGAGGTATACAGTCACTTAATTTCTGCAGACATTTCTTAAACTGAACAATCATACTAGATTAATTCTGTGTGGCATTAACTATGGTACCTACCTAAATTATTACCATAATTTGTAAAATTCTTTAAAGAGGCGGTGCATTTAAATGTTGCTTAAGAAGGGCAAAACAAAATGCATACATAAATTAGGCCTACTAGTATTTATCATACATAAACAAATATCTCAATTCTTTTAATAAATAAATGATTTTTGGCATAAACTTACAGCAAACCACACAGCCAACATAATCAATACTATTACTATACATATATTAAAACATTTGTATGTTAAACATATTTTAGTGAACATACTGTTTGGTTTCAGTGTTGAATGTCTCGGTTGTGTTGGTCTTTACTGACAAAGGTATTTGAGGATTTGCCTCTTTGACGGAGCGCAGTAGTGGCTCTACCAATCGAGGATGTAGACAGTTGACTCCAATAGCTAGGATCTGGTCTGACGCTAATTGCCAACATGATTGTGCAACATCGCTTAGCTTCTCTCCATGAGATATTGTCAGCTCATTCTATAACAAATACAAATTCACACCTTCAATTAGGCATGTCAGTTTAAATTGTCAGAACATCTGATTTGGGAAATGGTACTGATGCTTCTACACACATTATCAAATTTCAGGCTTGAATTCACAACCGAATCAACTTGCAGACACAGTCAAATTGGCTTGTCAGTTCTGCTTTTTCACATAGATTTGACTAGCATAGTCAAACTGTGTAGCAGTCTTAAAATTTCTCTGTTTGGAAGATCCACATAGTAAAATAAACGGTATCAGCAATCTGACACATACTTTATTCTACCATTATTAGCTTGTCAACAACCTTTATCATGGGTAAGCGATGAAAGTAACTATGATATTTTTTAATAGGTAAAATCACAAAAGTTGCATTAACTTTTGAACAGTAATTTTTACAGGAATGAAGAAGGTATACACTATTTTGTTTAGAATTATAAGGACCGTTACAGACAAATTTAAATCAGAAACGTGAGTTTTCAAAAAAAAAAAGACTATTTTTCCATTTTTTAAATGTTTTTTTTTTTATGGGAAAGTAACATAAGTTACAATAGCTTTTGAACCGTAATTTTTAAAGCAATTTTTGGGGGGTTACATTATGTTGTTTGGAATTATAAGGATTATCACATAATAATTTCAATGAAAACCGGTTTTTAAAACAAAATATTATTTTCTTTTATTTTATGGGGGGTTTTATTGGGAAAAAACATAATTTACAATAACTTTTGAACTGTAATTTTTACAAAAATGGAAGTTCTTTGTTCATAATTTTAAGAGCTACACCATACTAAATGTTTATCAAAATCGTTCAGGCCATTTTCGAAAAAATTTGATTTTTCCATTTTTTCATGGGTTTTTATGAAAAAATCATCATTAAAAATCAAAATTAAAAAAAAATTTAAAAACACCTGGAGATACCGTAGATTAGTACTTAGAAACCAAATTTAATCAAAATCGGACCACAGGTGTAGTCTGTAGCTCTGTACACATCCAAACATACAGACACACACACACACACACACACACACAGACATCACTTCAAAAACTACTTTTTGGGTCCAGGGGGTATAGGGGGAGAAATCATAAGGCGTACCCAGGATCAAAACTAGGGGGGGGGGGGCAAGAGCGTACTTGAAACAGGGGAACGCCCAACAGTCTGGAGGAGGGTCCGGGGTTTCTCTACTGGGAAAATTTTAAGAGCAATGCTGAAATTAGCATTTTTTACCCTATTTTGAGACATTAATATAACAAACCTAGCTCGATAATCCAGCCTTTAGCGTTTATAAAGTCTTAGTTTATAAAGTGGCTTTATGTCCGTCAATGGGGTCAGGTCAGGTTGCTTAGCTTTACAATATACATTTAACTGTATTTTTTGTGTCCATGCCAACTTTTCACATCCGTTTATAACACCCGAAATATATGGTAACTAAGAGCTGTAAGAGCAATTTCCTTCGTTACATTATTGTTGAAGGCAAATGAAAACAAAATAATGTCACAAAAAATAGGTTTATATTAATTCATTATCCTGCACAAAGTTGTTAGTTTATGCATTGCAAGAAATTGGTCTGTTTATTAATACTATTGGAATTTTTATTTTGTTGAAGAATAATTCAGAAACTAATGAAAAAATTGATAAAATGTGTAAAAAATGTCATAAAAAATCTGTAAACTATGTTACTCACTCATATTTTCATGAGATTCTCATGAACTCAAGCCTGAATGTGAACCAACATGCCTTTATGATGGGCAAATCGACTACAACAGCGCTTCATAGCCTGGTAGTGAGAATAGAAGACACACTAGATCACAAGGAAATCCTAGCAGGAGTCTTCATGGACATCCAAGGAGCCTTTGATAATGTGTCCTATCAGTCAATAGAGGAAGCACTGACAGACAGAGAAATTCCTCAAGAAATAGTGTGCTGGATAATGGCTCTGCTCCAAAGCAGAGAAATATCAGCCACGGTTGGAGACTCGTCGGTTATAGTCGAGGCCAGAAGAGGGTGTCCGCAAGGAGGAGTTTTATCTCCCCTGCTATGGACACTTGTGGTTGATGGCCTGCTGAGAGAAGCTGAACAAACAGGCATTGACCTACAGGCATTTGCAGATGATCTAGTGCTGACCGTGAGAGGGAATCACAAAGGTACCATTGAGGACCTTACCCAGCGGGCGGTAGACTACATCGACAATTGGTGTAACACAAAGGGTTTGACAATCAACCCCACAAAAACTGAAATAGTGACCTTCACGAGAAAAAGGAGGACTAAAATCTCCCCACCCCAAATTAGGGGAATGAGGGTCAAGTCAGTCAAGGAGACTAAATATCTGGGTGTATACTTAGATCAGAAGTTGACTTGGAACAGGGACATAGATCATGTCATCGCCAAGGGAACAGGAGCCATGGGCGCCTGTAGAAGAACATTTGGCAAAAAATGGGGCCTCAACCCTAGACTGATCTGGTGGATATACGAAACTTTAGTCAAACCTTTGGTGGAATACGCAGCCCTGGTGTGGTGGCAGAAGGCAGAGCAAACTGGGGCAGCTGCAAAGCTGCAACAACTGCAAAGACTTGCTTGCACAGGGGTATGTGGCACAACAAGATCATGCCCGACAGTGGTGATGGAGTCAATTTTAGGCGCACTCCCACTCGGGCTGGATATAAAGAAAAGGGCAGCATTAACAGCCCTTAAGACTTGTAGTAAAGGAGAAATATCTTCTTTGAGAAGGACGGGTCACATGTCAATCCTAAGGGAACTCCCAAGTTTGGATATGGAAATGACGGTCTCAGATCTTATGATTAGGAAGTACGACTTTGATAAACCCTACCAAGTGGCCATTGGAGACAGAGGAGAATGGCAGAAGGTAAGGGATAAAACAGGAAAGTCGGCGATGGTGTTTTACACAGACGGATCGCGGAGGGAGGGCAGGTCGGGACTTGGAGTGTATGGCATTGGAACCTACCTCTCAAAGGCCCTCGGTGAAACGCCGACTGTCTTCCAGGCGGAAGTCATGGCAATAGAGCATTGTGCGAGACTGCAGTTGGACAAAGGCCTGAAGAGGAGAGGGGTGCTTATCCTCTCAGACAGCCAAGCTGCTCTCAAAGCAATTGACGCCTGCGTGGTGGAATCTAAAGTTGTGCAGAGCTGCAGGAACACCCTCAAGGCCCTGAGCGAACACAACAGAATCCAACTTGCATGGATCCCAGGTCACGCTGGGCACGAAGGCAACGAAAGGGCTGACGTCCTGGCGGGCGAGGGGGCAAAATCCGAACTCATTGGGCCTGAACCATGCTGTGGAGTCCCAGTGAGCAAGGGCCGATCAAAAATCATAACCTGGGCAGAGGGACAACAAGAAAAGGTTTGGGAAAATACCCCAGGCCTGAGACAGTCAAAGATGCTAATCAATCCTCTTAGTAAGGAATGGAGAAACATCTTCGACCTCCAAAAAGAAGAAATAAGCCTCCTGATAGGTCTACTTACAGGGCATGGCTATGTAAGGAAGTACCTTAAGACAATAGGACTTAGACAGACAGACCAGTGTAGATTCTGTCTCAACGAAACAGAATCAGCTGAGCACATATGGCTGGAATGTCCGGCGTTAGCCGATAAAAGGTTGAAACACCTAGGAAAGGCATTCCCGATGCCTACTGAAATAAGAGAAATGGGTGTGCACCAACTGATTGGCTTCGCAAGAAAACTTCGGTTAGGTGACTAAACAAAAAAGGGTGCTACAAAAGATCTTGTAGGTCGAGGTAGCAAGGGGTAAGAATACCCCAGCCCCATGAAGTAAAAAAAAAAAAAAAAATTTTATCAAAATCGTTCAGGCCATTTTCGAAAAAATTTGATTTTTCCATTTTTTCATGGGTTTTTATAAAAAAATCATCATTAAAAATCAAAATTTAAAAAAAATTTAAAAACACCTGGAGATACCGTAGATTAGTACTTAGAAACCAAATTTAATCAAAATCGGACCACAGGTGTAGTCTGTAGCTCTGTACACATCCAAACATACAGACACACACACACACACACACACACACACAGACATCACTTCAAAAACTACTTTTTGGGTCCAGGGGGTATAGGGGGAGAAATCATAAGGCGTACCCAGGATCAAAACTAGGGGGGGGGGGGGCAAGAGCGTACTTGAAACAGGGGAACGCCCAACAGTCTGGAGGAGGGTCCGGGGTTTCTCTACTGGGAAAATTTTAAGAGCAATGCTGAAATTAGCATTTTTTACCCTATTTTGAGACATTAATATAACAAACCTAGCTCGATAATCCAGCCTTTAGCGTTTATAAAGTCTTAGTTTATAAAGTGGCTTTATGTCCGTCAATGGGGTCAGGTCAGGTTGCTTAGCTTTACAATATACATTTAACTGTATTTTTTGTGTCCATGCCAACTTTTCACATCCGTTTATAACACCCGAAATATATGGTAACTAAGAGCTGTAAGAGCAATTTCCTTCGTTACATTATTGTTGAAGGCAAATGAAAACAAAATAATGTCACAAAAAATAGGTTTATATTAATTCATTATCCTGCACAAAGTTGTTAGTTTATGCATTGCAAGAAATTGGTCTGTTTATTAATACTATTGGAATTTTTATTTTGTTGAAGAATAATTCAGAAACTAATGAAAAAATTGATAAAATGTGTAAAAAATGTCATAAAAAATCTGTAAACTATGTTACTCACTCATATTTTCACATAATACAATTTTTCTTGGATCTATTTGTTATACCTTATCCTAGCTTCTAGGGGGGGGCAGCTGCCCTCCCCCTGCCCCTCTCTGGGCACGCCCATGCGAGAAAGTAAAAAATACATTCTCTCTGCGATTTGAAAATACTTTGTTTCTTAGAACTGAGTACTTCAGTAAATTTTGAACGAAATTCAACTTACATTTAAAGTCAAAATTGTTAGGTTCAAATTGTGGTACCTTGAGAAACAAAATCAATCAGTAAAGATTCGGATTACCTGAGCGGAAAAAGAAACAATTGCTTTCATCCCAGGATGTTCCTTTAGCAATGATATAAGAGCTTCGGCTTCCTTCAAGGAAGGGATGGTTGCGAAGATAAGGTAATCACAGCCAGCCTCAATCAAAGCATCAAACCGTGGACGATGCCAGTCAGCCAGCTGCTGTCCAGTCATGTTGTCAGCGTAATTACCTCCTGCGTACTCTGAACCGTCGTGGAGAAATGCACCGTACGGCCCGATCATTCCAAACACATCTATAGGCCTGGTCATACCTGCAGAGATGTTTGTTCAAGAATGGTTGAGACACCATATTATGTTGTTGGCTCAGTAATTCTCTGAGGAATTAAATTAAATTAAATGAAAATGCTTCTTTATTGAGGCACACTTAGGACCTCATGGTCCTTCCTTAAAGTTAACCTCTAAGCAGGTCTGGCAGGTGCAGGGTCTGAGCAGGTGTGTGGTTGAAAATATACTCCACTGATAACGCTGAATGTCATCAATATTGTTTTTGTTAACTGTTTACAACCATTCTTTGTTCATAGAATAAACCACAGAATAAGACCTAACCCAGAACTCTTGCTGAGCCAATAAAAACGCTGTATGTTTGAATCTGCTGGAGTTCACACCTGAATCTAGGAGCTGCCGGTGGGAGATGTATACATACTGTATTTCACATTTATATGACCAGCTGAGAGCAAAAGTAACAGTGACATCAGTTATCTCCCCTACCACCTTTATGTGTATGGCCTAGCTATAGCCAGCCATGAGTGACGGCAGCTCTCCTAGATTCGGGTTAGGCTAGCAGATTCAAACACAAAGATTTTTTTACGGTCAGTGGTTATTGTGTGATTGAACATCTTAACTAAGTTTTGTTGTTAATATTGAACTGTATAAAATAAAGCCTATATGCACTCAAGTCAAGAAATGAAGCAATATGTCATTAAATGTTTATTGAATTAAAAAGAAGAGAGTGATACAATAAGCTCTTAAGCTATTAACATCATATCTTTTGGGGAGAAAGCAGAGAACAGTTATCAGTGAGAGGGCAACCCGTTTTTACTCGGACTGGGCTACAGTAAAATTTGGCGTCCCTCAAGGATCCATTTCAGGACTCACACTCTTTCTTATATATATAAATGACCTTACCAGCACATATTTCCAAAAGGTTATCGTACTATTTGCTGATGATACAAGTGTAATAGTTCAGGGAAAAAATCTGTCTGCATTAGAAAACACTTTGAAATTAACACTAAAAGATCTGAAGAAATGGTTTGAATCAAATGGACTTTTACTAAATAAATAAAAATCTAACATTATGCAATTCCACATCAGAATTAACAATAACCACAAACTCAATGGAACGGATTTTAATATCACTGATAAATATAAATTTCTTGGGATTAATATAGATCAAAGTTTCAATTGGAAATCACACATTCAATATTTGGTTAGTAAGTTGACTTCTTTTAGGTTTGCAATTAAATGTATTCAAAATTAAGTGTCACTAGGAACATAAAAAATTATTTATTATGCTTACATACACTCTCTGCTTTGTTATGGGATTGTTCTGTGGGGAAACTCAGGGGATATTGATATTAGCAAAGTTTTTAAAGTCCAAAAAAGTATTATTAGAGTGATGATAGGGGCAGAATATGGATCAAGCTGTCGTCGTTCTTTTAAGGAATTAAAAATAATGCCATTGACTTCTTTCTACAACTATGAAACAGTAAATTTTTTTCATTTAAATAATACACTTTTTGATGAATTTAGACCCACTCATAGTTATAAAACCCGAAACCCAAATCTGCTAAATTATCCAATTCATAAACACTCTCATTTTGAAAAAAACCCTATCTAAATGGGGATTTGTCTATATAATAAGATCCCCTCAAAAATAAAATCCTATACACCATAAAAATTTAAAATTTGGACTAAATCATTATCGGTGGAGAAATCATATTACTTCCTGGCAGATTTCCTAAATGACCGTGATATTATTAATTGACCATTAGTTTATGTAAAATATGACACAGAATGTTTTAATCGTTTTTTTTCTCTGATATTGCTTCAAGATCTTAATTTAAATTTGTCTTTTTTTCTAACTTGTTTGAATCAGTGGCGGTTCCAGAGAGGGGGCCATAGGGGCCATGGCCCAACCCCCCCCCCCTGAGAATCAGGTTTTTTTTTCAAGCTTTATAATTTGAAAAATTGACTTAAAAATGGCCGCGCACATCCCCGTTTCCCACCATCCTATGCATTCTTCATGTCAGTGCGTCAGGCATACGCATCATAAAAAAAAATGTTTAAAAAAAATTTTATCATAAAAAAATGTAGTCAATTGAGTATTTGTTTTGTTACGGTTTTTTTATTAGTAACACAGTTTTACAAGATTCAACCTATGTGCATCCCTCCACTTAAGCACAAGCACATGACAAAATTATAATGGTAAGTAATGGAAGCGTTTAAGGCTTAAGCTTTGCTTAGCTGTTTCTAAGTTAGGTTAGTCTAGACTCATGATTGAGCAACCGCCATTACAGTACTACGAGTGCGACGTTGTCGATGTCTACCTGACTACCACACTGTCATTTCTACAGAGTATTCACTCACGTAGACATGTGCGTTCGAGTGTATACATCATCAACGTCGCAGTGTCGCACGCTCACCCTCCTGGCTGGGATATATAGTACAGATACAATCTATATTATAACTTAATACGGAGTATGCTTAATCTAATACTCCCCTGGATACTGGCGCACTGTGTGGTGGAAAAACGGGCCGTGCCCACCATTCAAAATGGTGGGATACTGAGGCCGGTGCCACCGGCGGGTCGTATGGACCTCTCTCTTTTACACAAACATACCTTAGCACACTTATTTTTCAACATAAAGATTTCAAATTTATTTATTTTTAGACAGTGCTTATTACTGTGTAGTTAGTTTGAACCTTAACATATGTTTTATAGTTTATTTAGGCAAATTAAAAATTGATGGTCGATTATTAACAGCACTAAAAACGTCAAAAATGTAGTAAGTGAGGAACTTTTTTTTCTGAAACAATCATTGTTAAAGGAATACAATGAGCGTCAACATTATGAAACAAAACATTTAAAAATAGATAGGTGAAATTACAGGGCCGGTAAGAACAGAAAAAGGTTTATCAATGGTTTAAGGAAGTTTTGCATTTAAACTCTCCCTTTCAGATTACAAGGGATTAAACTTTTTCTTCGTCAGAGTGCTTAAAATGTCGACTTTGTAAGTATAACTTTTCCAAAATTTAACTTCCCGGACCCCCCTCCAACAATGGACCCCCCTCCAAACCACCCGGAAGTTGTGGCCATGCTGGCCTAGAATTAAAATAACCCCACACCGTCGATTGAATGGCCCCCTCCGAAAATTAGCCCTGGACCCGCCCTTGGTTTGAATTGGTAACTTTCTCTCAATTGTGCTGTTCTTGTTGTATTTTGTTGTAACTTTTTACTTTTAGTTTTTATAACTTATTGATTGACCATGCATCTGTTCACCATTGCCTTTGTAATAAAGAATAATGTTTTATGCAATAAAATACTTATGACTTATGATATGAAGAACTATTAAAACATCAGTTAGCGTTTTGTTGGAAATTAATTTAGAAGTGAGAAATGTGTTCCAACGTTTGAAATGTTCTCTCCTAAAACAAAGCCTATAAGTCTATAGGGATCATCCTTGAGTTTCTGTCCAAGTCGATGCACATCTTTAACTTGATCATATTACCATTGACTATTTGATACCGTAGTTGTATCTAGAGTCAAAGATGTTACTCAAAGAAAATTATTTTTTCATAAAGGTTTCATCATTTATACTCAGATTATTCTTGTGGATCTTATTTTTTTATTATTTTTTTACAGAGGGATTGCCAAGTAACCATGTATAACCATTGCAGCTGGAACAGCTTAGAGTTTAAAATACCTAATTCATCAGTTGGAGAACCATCTTGAAGGCCAAAAGAATCTAAAGCGTCTAGAGAGTTTTCTCATTTAAAAGCAAAATAAAACAGATAAAACCTACCAATAGTAAAATAGACTTACTCTATTTTTGTGATATATTACCTGCTGCTCTAGCCAACTCTATAGCTTCTCTACAGAGTGATACAGAACTCTTGATTATGTCCAGTGCCTCCTTTTTTGTGATGTTGTAATGCTGCTGCAGATTGTCGACTGTCGTTTGATAAGTATAAGTCAGAAGCATCCGGGTCCCAGCTTCACAAAAAACATATCATCAGACTATAACTGCATTAGGTGCTATAATTGTAAATATTTGGTGTAGGCCTAAATCACAAGTTACTATACCGACCAATTCAAAAAATGTTTGGGCAAGTGGCCGATGTTTCAATTATTTAATACTAGAGGTCGGTCAGTGGTTGAAAACTCAACCAAAAATGTGTAATGTACAGACTTCTCTATTATCACCACAAGTTGTAAATTAAACTTTTAATTGGAATTATTTCTTTAGTTTGTTTTGATTTTCTGTTTATATTTTGTTGTTATTTCGTCCCCAGCATTGCAACCCATAAGACCCATTTACTTTTTTATAAATTTTTAATTCATTTTTTGTTTATTTTTTAGCCTATTTTAATTTATAAATGCTGGATATTCTGCACATCTACAGAAATACAGTATATCTTTCCAACTGTATGCATAGATTTTCACTGTGATGCACACGAGCTGAGAAAAAAAGGTTGTAAAGAAACATGCTTGCCTATTAATAAATAGAAGATAGGAATTCACGATTGAGCATAAAAATTATACTTTACAGTTTCTAAATTTTAAGTTGTTTTAGAGAAAAATTACGAGTGTACTCAGTGGTAGACAACACGTTTACCATTGATGGATCCCAGGGGGAGCTCCCTGTAGGCTCCCCGGGAAGGGAACTATAGGGGTAGCTGAGTGGTTATATGCCCGCCTAACAATCAGATGGTTGCCGAATCGATCCTGGAGAAGTCAGTAGCTTTTTGAAGGTTCAAAACTGCACCCAGAGCGGACCTTGATCATTGGGCGTTAAATAATAAATGACCCTATATAATGAAACTGTGATCTTAGTCAGTAAGAAAGCTATAAAGATCATCTCACCCCATTTTAAACTCACCCTTCACTCATATTTGCGTCAAAATAAGCACCTAGGTGACGTCCCCATCTCAAATGATAGGGATAATAATATTAACTTACTTTGTCTAGCACACATTTTCTAACAAACCTCCTTTTAATGCAAAAAAAAAAACCTCTTATCTGCTTGAGTTATACTCGCATAGGAGTTGTAAGATAAAGATCATGTGTAACACTCTTTATCTGCAATACCTTTGCAGCTAAAAGGGTTCGAATTAGAAGACACCACAGAGATGGAAACTTGCCTGTGGGATGACCATGCGCTTTCAGCTCTAGTTGTTGTGCTGGAAATATACTTGTGACAAGCAAGGAAGAGTCCGAGCAGCAAGCATCACTGTGGGGAAATTCCTATCGAACAGGGCACAGGGTCTTCCTCCACTGTGATCGTGGGCAAGGGGGTGGAGTTGGAGTCTGTCCTAGACAGTCAGCACTAGTGCTAGCCACCACTTAAGCGTACAATTGAATACTTGAAGGTACTCTGTACCTTACTTCTCTGTAAAGATACTTACATGACAGTGTATCTTGAAGTACTTTACGTATAATATCAGGATCATCTTTTAAATATCTTCCACTCCACAGCCTATGGCTTTCAAAATCACAGGCTGGAGCGTACCTTTTTACTGTTTCATCATGGCCGCCGTCCCCCAGCACAAAGTCAACCATTTCCTCGTTCATTTACTGCAAATAAGGGATAACATTTACAGTAAAATTGAGTCATTCAGATGGTATGAATAACAAGATGAGCTGCACAACATAGTGAATCTGCCGATCTGGATGATATCTGATATAACATGATGACAGGTACAACAGTATCATCCAGGCTGTATAGCAACATGAATGTATTATCTACAATTTTTCTGTTCCAGAAAAAGATGCAGCACCTCCCAATCAACCAGTAGCGCACTATTTACCATTTCTGTTTAGCACTAGAAAAAAGAACTGTTACAAACCTTACATAAATAAATTGTATCAGCGATCTGATACATATACTTTCTCCCGTTAGATTGTCAACAACCCTAATCATGGGTGAGCTGTGGACCAAGATATTTTATAGGGCAAATCACAAAAGTTGCAATAACTTTGAACGGTAATTTCAACAGCAATGTGAGTTGTACACTTTTGGTTAGAGTTAAAAGAAAAATTTTTAGTCTTTTTTTTAATCAAAATCGTTTAAGCAAAAAAAAAAAATATTTTATTGTTATTTATATAGGGTTTTATAGGAAAATATCCATTAAAAATCAAAATTTCTCTCAACAAAAATAATACTGCACCCACATAGGTACTAAATCTTGTCGAAATCAGAACATGGGTGTGGCCTGTAGCATCTGGATACATCCTCATACACATACAGACACAAACGCAGACATCACTTCAAAAACATTTTTTTTGGTTGGTGGTGGGGGGGGGGGGGGAGAGAAGTAAGTTAAAAAGTAGTTTTGTTTAAAAATATCATAGCCAAGTCAGATTAAAACAAACACAGTATAAACGGGTGTCTAAAATTGCTCATGTACAATTCATGTTTAAAAGTGTAAATGTACTTACAAACAAATTCCAGCGAACTTTGTTATCGAATGAAGCTTTTTACCTCTTTATCTAGTGGGGTTATCTTCTTTTCAAAACTAACAAACACTGATGCACTCTTACGAAATGTCATATATAAAAGAAATACTGTATTTCTAATTGAATATAACTGGTTAAAAGGCTGCAAGGTTTTTATTTTGGTTTATAATTAAATGTTAAATGTTAAACGCTTAAAATGAAAAGAATAGTCAACTAGTGTCCTGATGTGAACTTCTCTGACAGATCTTTTAGATTTTTCTAAGCCAAAGAGTTTTCTGCTCTTTAATGTCATGTACAGCAACTTTAAGTCCCTGGCGGAAGATTCAATAATAAAAAAAACATTATAGACACACAGCAAAGTGTGCACGTCAGCTAGAGAGCTGCTTATGGCACCGTTCTGTTCACGAATGATGCCAGTAAGGGACGAGAAGTCTTGTTGCGCTATACATACGGACTAAGAAGCTATACACGAGTTACGGGAAGACTGCCCACCCCCCTCCAAACAACTACCCCCCAAGCAGGTTCCTACGTCATGTTGACGTCAGAGATCGGGGGTGGAGCAATTTTCCAGTAACGACATTCAAGTTTCGTTGTCAAACTGTTCTAAACTAATCCAACCTAACTAACCAAACCTGTTGTTCAAAGGTTTATTGCGGACATTTTCCATCACGATGGTAAAAAACAATACACAACGTTTCGGGATCTGGAATCTGATCCCGTCCTCAGTGAAAAAAACTTTTAACTAACACACATTACAACTAGCAATACACAAACGCCCAACCTAAGTTGGTATACACTAGCAGTCAAAAAAACCAAACCTGCTGTAACATTTCGAAATGTTGTTTGATATTCCCCACATCCACACGCCTTTTCTGCGTTATCAAACAGAATTACTCAAATTAAAATTTCAACGATAATTATAACGTATGAAATTAATTTCGATATCCATTTTGCTAAAGGGGTAGTATATTCCATTCCTGGACACGGCTGCCTTAATGGTTAGTTGACAGATTTCGTGTCACGTTTCATATGGGAGGGGGAGGGGGTGGTTTTCCAGGGGGTAGTATTCTGCATCCTCATATAAGCAACGACCCTTTTTAATATAAATGGTAAAGTTCCTAAGTGAAAAGGTTATTTTGGGACTATAATGTTTTAAAAAGATCTCCATGATCTTAAATTTATGAAAAGAGTTTATGGAGTTTACCTAAAAAATCTTTTGGATTTCACATACCAAAGTACACACTGACCCAATGTTTTTAACTTCCTAAAAACTGAACACAGATTTGAGTGTAATTTTTCTTTTATAAAGAAACCTGTTTGAATAGAGACTCCATCATAACCCACCAGAAGTTTTGCTTTGAGGCTAGTTGATAGTGTTTTAGCCAAATAAAGGCAAAAGTACCGTACCTACACCTTATAAAATGTTGGCTATAAACTGGTTAGTTCTTCTTAAGTGTTTGGGTAAAATTCCTCACAAGAGCTAATTATCACAATAAAATTTACCTTAAAAAAGAGTATTTCACCAAATGAGTACAACTTATATAACTAGGCCTACTAAAACTGATGTTTAGTTTGGTTAATAATGTATCTTTCAGTCAGAAAACATACCTCTGTCAAAAATAAATTGACAAAATAAAATTGTTCCAATGTAAACCAAATATTAAAATAGAACAACAGTTACTTCAGTTCCAGTGGCAGTACCTACTATCATCATAACTCACAACACAAACAGTCATGTTATGTCAATTGGTGCGGCCTTGGTCAATGCCAACTTGATCACACTGCCATAACCGGTTTTAACAGCTGCTTGAATGATGTTGGCTGATTCTATAGTGTCTTGAGTTGTCTGACTATTTATAGAGTGGAAATTCAAACAGCTGACTGTTATGTTTTTTAGGTGCCGTTATTAAAATGAACACTATAAATATTACTTCTTTCATTTTTCATTTGTTTGCTCATGTAGAACAACTGTAGCGTATTTATAAGATAGGTATATTATATCTATATTATTTTCTTGCATGTTTAGGGCTACTAATATAATAACAATTAAAAACATAGTTAACAAAGTACCCTTGTTAAATATTTATTATATATATATATATATATATATACATATATATGTTTGGAAGGAATCAGCTGATTATTTAGCTAAACTTTTGCCAAAATTCTCACCACAAACCATATTTTTTTGTATTCAACCACTCTTTACATCATCACTGATGCCATTGAGCATTTACACATTACCAAAATAACCATAAATTTAAACATTTATTTGTCAAAGAAACTTTTTAACATTTTTTTTGTCCAAGTGTTTTTTTAACGCCTCAATCATGTCTGGGTTAGCAGAAGTTATAGTGCTTGCCTTCAAATCTAAGGCTAGGATTATACTAGGACGCTGGCGTCCGGGATGCTGGCGTCCGAGAGGCTAGCGTCCCACATCGAGCCGAAAAATGACGTGATTTGTGTTGGGATGCTAGCCTCTCGGACTGCCATTTTATTTCAATGTTTAGTCACTTTTTGTTTATATATATTTAAATAACATTAGGTTTAACGAGTACCAAGGGTTGATGCTTTAAGGGGGCTAATAAAGTGTGTTTTTAGTAAAATACTGTATTATTAGCTTAGTATAAAACAAATCGTCCAAGTTTAAACGAAATATATCCATACACAAGCAAATTCCAACACATAACAACATTTTCTATAAGAATAACATGGCAATTTTTAATATGCTCTTTTTTAGTTTTTTCCATAACTAATAACAGTACAAAAACACTTAAATATACTTAATTATTAGTTTTTAAGCTCATTAAAATTGTCTGGAAAGAAATTGGGAATTTTTCAGTTGTATGGGTCAAAAATGACAAACCCCCTTTTTTAGCACATAAAACCCCGTTCCCAAGGTCTGTACATGCTGGTTCCCGAACACATTCAAGTTTATCCCACCCCTCACCTTAATACAGAATTTCTTCAAAATAGGACAAAAGTTACTCCAGTTATCGCGTTTACAGACATTTATATAGAATATTTAATTCTATACGAACGGATGGTGTTTTTGGCCTCTGGGGACATCAAAATGAAAAAGTAAATCGGTCCCGGGCCTAGGTCTTACCATGCCACCTACGGTAATAGCTTCGAGCGTCCGGTGGCTCTTTTTAGCATCCGACGCTAGCATCCATAGTATAATCGCCCCCATTTGATTTAATGCCCCGCTAGCGTCCCGGACGCTGGCCTCTCGGACGCCAGCGTCCTAGTATAATCCTAGCCTTAAAGTCACTGATTCCATCCTAAGTGAGATACTTACTGGAACCAGATGCAATGTCATTGGATTGGGCTATCAGTTCATGATGCTACCTATCTAAAAAAATGTGGTTAGTAAGAATAAGAAGTAGGGTTTATACCTTCCGCAAAAATTCGTGGCGGCTGAGGGATTAGGACGATCGGGTGGTGTCCCAGCCTCTAAATTAGCCCTCGCTCTGCTGCTCTGGGTTTTGACCATGAGTCACCCACTTGGCTTAATACATAGCTGGAAGAATTTTTGTATATCATCATAAAGTGTATTAAATAACGCCAGTTTTGTAACCTGCGTCAAATAACAAGAACATTGAGCCAAAACACGAAATAATTGCAACAATATTAAGTATACTTTTGGTTTTAAAATAATAGACAGTTTTTGTGTCGTGGTATGCTTAATATCATCGCAATTATTTCGTGTTTGGGCTCAATGTTCTTGTTATTTGATGCAGGTTACAAAAATGACGTTATTTAATACACTTGATGGTGGTATAAAAACATTTTACCAACTATGCATTGAGCCCAGTGGGTGACTCATTGTCAAACCCCAGAGCAGCCGAGTGAGGGCTAATTTAGAGGATGGGACACCACCCGACCGTCCTAATCCTTCAGCTGCCACGAATCTTTGCGGAAGGTATAGACAGGTCCCTTTCAAAACCTTATAAGTGCCAGTGACCATTGATAGAATAAAACAAAAAATAAAATTTAACCCAGCAAGAAAAGTTAAATAAGCACATTTCTGTAATTTAGGGAGACTAACAGACTGTTTTGGCTTACACGACTTTCAATTGTCATAAACCACACTTAAATTTCAACAACATGAAATAAGCACAATATAACGTTTCAGATTTTGTAAGATGAAAAGAACACCACACTATTTAATGGTATATGGTTATGGGAAATAGGATAATAAATAAATCAAGTTCAGACTGTTGTATGTTTCTGTTTATTCAGTTGATGTTTGTCACTGGTTAAGTCACTCAAAGCGGCAGTGAACTTGTTAATTCTAGGTAGGGTTAATGTTTGTCTACAGTTTAGTTTGTTGTATAAAGTTTTACTTTATAATCAAGAGTTTGTCTGAACTACATTCCTCGTTTAAAAAAAAATTGAATTTTAACTACGGTACCACAGAGTTTAAATTCATATTTAAATGTTTGGTAAAATTATTTTTATTTTATCTTTGTACTTTTTTTAATAATTTGCTCACAATTAATTTTGTTGCCTATGTTCTTGAGCTATTAGTTTGTATGCAATAGGAACTACTAGCTCAAGAGCGCAGGCAAAAAAGAGGTAATTAATATAATTCAAGTTCTTGACAAACCATTATTGTCCTTTTAAATTAAACTCTTTACATTTTTCTACAAATAAATATAAAATATTTTAAAATTTGTATTAGATTTTTTCTTTATCAGGGGTTAGAGTATAAAACTGTAAAGCCAAATCCATACAAATTTGGCAGTGATTACACATACAGTATTGTATTTTAAAGCAGTATTGCGATGGGGGTCTGAACATAATACAGATATAGCTTAGTTATAAAGGTACACGTTAAAATACTGGACACCCATAACACGTCAACGTGCGAGCTAACTACGCTACTGGCACAAAAATATGCAAATTGTTCCCCGACTGAGCGACTTACATCTATGGAAGAACGAGAACATGATATTAAGATATGGGAATCTGAAAAATTGACAAAGCATGATTATACTCCTTTTATCTATGACATGATTAATCTATGGCAAACTTGTTGTTTCCGTGTATCCATTTGTTCTACATGAAAAAGTTACCGTATTGCAATTTATTTGACCATAAAAACTTGTAAAAAGACGGAAAAATTGGATTTTTAAAATGACGGCTTGACCGATTTTGTTTAATATTTAGAATTTTCAGGTCTTGTAACTCACTACAACCTACAACATAGTACAACCCCCAATACTGAAAAATGATGGATAAAAGTTTATTGCAACCTTTGTGATTTCACCTCTACAATACCATTGTTTACTCCCACCACTTGATAATGTAAGGGTTTTAGGCAAGCTAATGGGAGAAAGTATATGTCACTTTGCTTATACCATTTATTTTCTATCGTATGGATGGTTGTGTTATTGTTTTCTACAGTGGATTTATTAAGCACCACATTCTCTTTCACATCCCCTTTCCATTGCAAATCATAGGTAAACCAACTGGTAATAGTTTAAAGTAACCTGTAGTCACTGAAATTCTAAACGTAATCTATTCTGTATTAAAACATTCAATGTAAGAGTCATAAGGATCATTAATTGCTAAAAACAGTTTCCATGTCACAAACATAACCACTCCCATAATTAAACACTTGATGACAGTAATGTTTTGAGTTTTTTAATAAAACTTCATCAACTAGTGATCAAGATCAAATGATGGCCGTATCTGCTAGTTTTTAAAATTGTTTCCCTTGTACCCATTATATAACCTTATATAACGTTGACCCGCCAAAAATGACTGAGGTCATAAGGTTTTTGCTAAACAAAAACAGTTAAATAAAACGTTACACAAATAATAGCGTGTTTGACTGGACTTATGATCCTTATTGTTATCAATATTAGTACCTAACTAGAATTTTGAGTTTTACAACTACTCTTGATAAAAGCATCATAGAAGTACGGTACTATGAAAAATAGAGTTTGAAGTAAAAACAATAATAAAACATTCAAAACTGCTTCTGAGCATATTTTTGTGCCAAAATTTAAAACCATCTAAACATCTTGAACAACTCATACAGTATACATATATTTTGAGAAAGTAGGAAAATATTCCTATCGAAAACATACAAAATTGCAAATATAACAACAAACATAATCACAGTTTTGCAAACATTCTACAATAAACTTCAGTCTCTCCCGTCCTCTTTAACTACAAAACTACAGTTTAATGGTTAATATATTAGGTTTAGAAATGCTCTGAATGTTTCACAAGTCCTACAGTTAAATAATAATGCTGTTCAATATTAAGTACATCGAGTGATTCACTTTTATTTACACGTCTCACGGTATTTATACATATTTTACAATCGGGAATGTACATCTATTCTACATACAACTGGTTTTCCATGCCACTATCCTGTTCAAAGGTCAGTCTTGTTACATTTTGATACATTGAAATTGTCTTTTCCAATTCATTACCAGTGAAAAACATGAAAGGAAGTATACTGTTGGTCAAAAATTAAAATGAGAAAATAGTGTTTAAAACATTCAATAAATTACATTGCTTCTAAAACATAAACTAATTAAATCTAACATATCACAAAAATTAAATACGATAGACTCCCCAAAATCCGTTCTCAGAAAATCTGGACTGATGAAATGGAATATTTAATTTGCAAGTTTATTAAAGTAAAAAATCTGAAAGTTGATTTTTGTGGGTTGGGCACTTTTGATTTCTGATTTTTTTTTTGTGATTTGAGGTTATAGTAGTCCATCATATTTATTACAGTACTAAAATTTACTGAATCAAAAATTGTTGAGCAAATGTTCAACTACTGTAATACCTTTTCAGTACAATGGGGCAAAAATAGTATCTTACTAAATGCCGCTCTAAAAACAAAGCTTTAACTTGATTCCTGAATAAGCTGATTTTTAAAAATTTGGATCAACCTTCTATCACTCAAGTCCAGATTTCAGAGAGTCAACCGCACGTATAAAAATATAATTAAAAATAAAAATAAAGCTCAAATAACTATTCTGCAAAAGGTAACTAAATATAATACTCAATTTCAACAAAAAACTGCAATATGCTTTCTATGAAAATCAAAAGCTTTAAAAAGGGATTACTTAAATAATCTTAACTAGCAATTTTTCGAATTGGTGATCATGATAACACATTTTAATTTTGTAATGATTTTTATAAACTTACCTATGGTTCAAAGTTTTTTGATGTATAAATAATTATTATTTTAGATATTCAATAAATTCTACTTTTTATTTAAGACATGTTCTTCGTAGACATTGGTTGAAAAGTCATTAGTATTGTGCCTTTATAGGACTATATTAATTACCTTTAGAGGAAATTAAATCCTTAAAAAAATATTTAAAACTATAAATTTATTATTTTTGGAGTTCAGCTTTTAAAATGCACATTTTAGTACCTTTCATTTCCACCAAGGTTTACAAAAATGTTAACAACCATTATGATAGCACCATCTAAGAATGATCTAGAATAGAATCTTGACAGTCCGACACTTCAAAAACTATTTGTAAATAATCTTGCAGCAAATTAGTGGGCAATTTGTATTTGGATTTGGAATATATATATTTAAACTAGCTGTTACCCACGGGCTTCAGCCCGTTTAACTTCATAAGCATTAATAAAACTATTGATTGGTTAAGTTAAGCTGAAATAAATAAAACAGAATACAGAAATACCAACAAATAATCACACCTGATTTTGCTTGTATTTTCCCTACAATAAAGACTAAATACAAACAAAAGAGAATAAATATTTCCTTGGTGGATAATTCTGAGTTTTGGAACATATAAATGGATAAATGGTTTTTATCAGCAATCGTCATATTGAATAAATTTGATCTTGTTACACCCGCTGAAAATGGTTGTAAATTTTTAATATCTTAGGAGGTAGGCTATAGATACTGATGTCTAACAAATAAAAGAATTTTTTTTTATATACAAATTTTAGTACTTTAGGATTTTAGAACAGAGGCTTACATGAGTTCATTTACATTGTGAAAATAATTTTTGATGATTTTTCGGACTGTCAAGAATTTGCAGGTTGGTTTAGACGCTTGTGCCGATGGCAGGACTGTACGCTGGCGCAGGTTGTGATGAAACCTGATCGACAGACGGTTCACACTTCTCACTCATGACGCTGAGAACTTGCTCAAACTTGGAGTGTCGATCAGCCGCTGCCACCGTCGCACCGCGCGATCCCCACAGGAACTTGAGGTGGAACTCCGTCCGGAACATGTCTAGGAGTAAATCGTCCACCTAGTGATCACAGGGATAAGCAAAGAAATGTCTGATAAAATATCTTAAGAATCACATTATTTGATGAATTAAACTATTAACACGTTCAGTGCTGACTACATCAATTGATGTAGGTGCGCAACCTCCACTACATTAGTTCAGTATGAGCTCAGCCATTGCCGGGGAACGTTAAAATCGTTGCTAGCCTGTAGCTTAGAATGTGAGCTTTGTTTTTGTGTGGGTTGGTACTAAAATTTCCCGAGAAATCCCATCTGACAATGCTTTTGTCCCGGTTTCGGGGATTTTCTCTCTTCGAAGCCACATTACAAAGCCACTGACTCCAGGCAGTGCTGCTACCTTTAGGGGTGTTTTAGGGAACTACGTACAATCTTGGGATAACGATTGGGGAGATTACAATCACCACTGCTCTTTTGTTATTCGTCAGATTGAAATATTTTAATGCCAATTGCGTTCGCTGTTACAGTGCCGTGCCGGGTCTTCGCCCGGGCCTCGCCGCCATTGGCGAGCACCTGTTGGAATGCCTGCCGCACTGAACCAGTTAAATTAAATTAAATGTTAGACTAATCATAAACAACAGTAAGTTGGCTGTGATTTTTTAAAAGTCAGAATTAAGATGCTACTGGATAAGGTGTTTATTCCAGATTATTTAGCAGACCCCTCCTCGGGTATTTGTTGGTGTATTTGTCAGAGTATCTATTGTTGATTTGCTGTGTTCAAAATGTTGTGGCTATTGGCTGTTGGGTGTGTTTCTAATCTACTAAGATTAGTTAGGCATATTTGTTGTATTAAAATGTTTTGTGACCATGTTAGTAGATTAAGACATAAGTTTATGAGACACAAGCTACATATAATCGGCCAACAATACATGGCAATCGGCAGCAATCGATGTAATTTTTTTTGAACAGTAAATAATTTTAATTTTGAGTTAGAATTGTACAGTTGTTGTATGGGCTTACATTAGAACCCTGCATATCCAACCAAATAGAGACTAAAAGAGGTCATTGTACGTAACTTTGACGAAATATGCAAAATTTGACTCTTGGTAAAAGGGAAGCAAAATTTAACATGTTTTATGTAAGAAAATATTGCCCCGTTTCCCATCACAATTTATAATATATTTATAAATTTTACTCAGTGTTTTTTTTTACTAATCTTGATGGAAATGTCCAAAATAATTTCTTAAATATCATCAACTTACTATCAACAAACTGAACTTTAAACTATAGTAATACCTATAGACATGTTTTTATAACTATTTACGAAAATGAATCTCCGGTTACCTTTGAGTCTCCTAAGACTATCTCAGCATTTCGTCTAAAGGAGGGCAAAGAGTCACCGAACTTCCGAGACAGTTCTAGATGAGCAAATAAAGTCCCGAGGCCAAAGTCCGATGTTGAAGACTCCCAGGAACTCAAAATGCTCGTCTCCAAACTAGTGATGGGCTTGCTGCTTTGACCTGATCAGGAAAAAGAAAATTAGTTGATTAAATCGAAATCCTCAAAACATCATCAGTTTGACTGCTCAATTCTTTGTTAGGCATTACTTCATAAAACAGAATTAAAAGTCAAAACTGGAACACTTTAGTGAACAAGTTATTGTTGATTCTAATTTTATAGATAAATATTTTTAGGACCACTACCTATCCTACAAAGATATTTTGTACCAGTGTAGATGTTGATAAAATACTTTTCCTACAGTTACCTAACAATGTACATGTTCTCTCACTGATTTGAGAAAGCAAAGTGGCCAATTCGCTCATCAGTGAGACAATGTTAACATTGTCTCACTCTAATTACTTTGTCTCACTCCAGATTTGCAACGTGAAGGCACGAAATAGTGAGCGTGTAACATGCAGGCAACGTCGTATGCGCGCGAAATACGTTGGCAGCACTGGCTGTAAATCAGCTGGTCAGCTGTTGTACTGTTGTATTTGTCACTTCACATTAAATGTTATATTAAAAGTTCACTTCTGTGTAAAAATAGGTTATGTTTCTTCACAAATTTATTTGTTTTATGGTAACTGTAGGAAAAGTATAATGTGCAACTCGAGTTCAAAGTACAATTGCCTCACTCGAGAAACCATTCCTCACTCGCCTACGGCTCGTGAGTAAGGATTTCTCTCGAGTGAGTCAATTGCTCACTTTTCTCACTAGTTGCACAAATAACTATTTCACTTGTTTTGTATATAAATTTAGATAATTATCTTTCACTTAAAGTTTAACAATACCACTAATTCTAGAAAAAAGTAGCTAACTCTGAAGTTGAATGTGCAAAACCAAAAATGCAAACACCAAAGAAAGCTTCATTTTGTGAAAATTAAAGTAATTGTTGGGTTACTTTATTAGGATTGTGATACTCGTTTATAGACGTTTCTACCACTCATCATATGGTTCATTTTCCCATAACATCTTTAATTATATAGAACGTTTAGCAAATGTTCCTGCTTAAAAAACAGCTGATCTTATGGTCTGATCATGCTGGATTGCGAACTCGTTAAAATCAATCTAAAGATTTTTTGTACTTTTCTATATGACATAAACATCAAACTTTAACAAAGCTATCATCTTACTACATTGTACAATGGTTTTTACGCTAATTTTTTATCAATATTCAGCTTAATACACCACTATAGTGGCACGAAGCACGGGTACAGCAGCTAGTTTAAAAATAAAACGCACCCATTATGTCTTCTAAACTTCTCTCCTGCAGCAAAACGCATGGGAGAAGATGGGGAATTGTGGTGTTTGGGGCTTGAGGGTTGGTACACTCGTTCATGCTCTTTAACGTTGGCCGGAGTTTGGCCTCAAAGTTGAACGCTGAATCTGTGAATTTCTGCCGCAGTACGTGCCAAGTTACTGTCAGCCTTTGTATCTGAAACAAAGAAAAATATTCAAATTCCAATATTAATTAATCTTAATTTCTAATGTTCAGAGAAAAAGTCAGATCATTCATCAACGCCTTTTCCCACATCAATGCCAGATCAAGACAATGCCTCTTCCCATTTGGTTTTGTAAAAATATCTAATATATAAAATTCTCGTGTCACAGTGTTTGTCTGCAAACTCCTCCGGAACGACTTCACCGATCGTTATGAAATTTGGTGTGTAAATTCTGTAGGTATGCGAATCGGACGTAAACTATTTCCCGTTTCGAAATTCTTAAAAGGGCTCCGCCCCAGTGGCTCTGGAGTTTCCCATGTTAACCTTATGAGAAATGGAATTAATGAATCTTAACAGCTGTTTCAATTAAACAAGTTGGTTCTGTTCTATGATGTTCAATAGCATTAAAGTTACAAGGATTACCAACAGGGTGCAGCACTATTATTTCTTTTACATTAATGACAACAGCTAATTTGCAACCAAAAGGTGAGTGAGCGTAGCGAACGAACTTCAACCTGGAGGCGAGTTAGCGTAGCGAACGAGCTAACCTGAAGGCAAGTGAGCGCAGCGAACGAGCTCCAACCTAAAGGTGAGTGAGCGTAGCGAACGAGCTCCAACCCAAAGGTGAGTGAGCGTAGCGAACGAACTTCAACCTGGAGGCGAGTTAGCGTAGCGAACGAGCTAACCTGAAGGCAAGTGAGCGCAGCGAACGAGCTCCAACCTAAAGGTGAGTGAGCGTAGCGAACGAGCTCCAACCCAAAGGTGAGTGAGCGTAGCGAACGAACTTCAACCAGGACGTGATTGAGCGATGCGAACGAGATCATCTTGAAAATTAAACGTAACGGTACTTTCTTTCCATCGGTCTGTCTTAGGGGAAACCTATAACTTAGGCGATACGAAGTTCGCCGGGTCAGCTAGTAATATTATAAAATGACCTTTATGCCAGGATTTTAAAGGATTTTGCAATGCATATAGGTTCAACAGCAGGCAAATAAATAATTAATGACAAAAATACATGAAACACAAATAAATACTTAAACACAGAATGTTTGGAGCTACTCCTTCTTTAGAGACTCTACAACTGAAGAAGGAGCTACAGTAGCTTCAAAAAACTCTGTGTTTATTTATTATTTAATCTATTTTCGTCAGTTAAGTAAGCCTGCTGTTAAATCTATCCATTACAAAATCCTTAAAAAAACTTCATTAATACATTATACTACGTGAGAAGTCCAAATAAATTGAATAGTAATCTTAATATATAGAAAGACACCACTATTTATTGACCATTTGGGAACTCCTATAGTCCAGTAAAAATATATAAACTAATGACCCAACCTCCGAAAAATTTCGAAAGTTTTGAAACTTTGCACACATATTTCTATGTACCTAGAGAAGATTATACCTAAAGTCCCCATTAATATGAGGCGATCTCTAGCGGCAATTAGGGAAAACAGGGCACTTTTTTGGTTTTTGGGTAAAATATTGAGAACAGTTGTTTGGAGTTAAAAGTGACTGATACCAAATCAAAGATGATCATTAAATCTTCACAAAAATGACGCTTAAAAACTTTTATTTTATTCCTAATGGTTACCGAGTTATAGGGTACTAAAATATGGTGTTTTTTCTCAGCGAAATACCTACTTTAGTTTGCACCATTGTTCGCACCCTGACAATTTGAGTAAATCCTATAGGTATTTTAGCACCCTATAACTCAGTAACCATTAGGTATAAAAAAAGTGTAAATACTATTTTTGTTGAAAATTTAATGATCTTTCATTTGGTATCCAGTCACTTTTAACTCCGACCGACGGTTCTCAAGATTTTAATCAAAAACAAAAAAAGGGGCCCTGTTTTGGCTAATACCGCTTAAGCTCGCTTCATATTTATGGGGACTTTTGGTACAATCTTCCCTAGGTACCGGTACCTAGAAATAAGTGTGCAAAGTTTCAAAAAATGTATCTATAGTGAAAATCTCACATACAACAAATCCCTCCGATGGTAGGTAATATTGAAATAAATGTTGTAAAGCTAAATCCTCACTGGCAAGTTACATGAGGTGAAAAGATAGTTGATGTGACGGCCTTTAAACCCCTGTTTTGGCTTGATTCCACCCTTTATGGCCGTTCTGAGGTGTATTTCCGTAAGTAATGTAGCCACTCCCCCTTTCACTACCCATAAACCCTCCTGTTCATCTTTCTAAATCCCAAGCAGAATTTCTCTTAAAAAAACATAAAGGATAGACATTTCATCTATATGAAACTTCCTACAGCTGATTTGTTAGGGGGAATCTTAAATATATGGCAGTACCAATACAGTTGTAAAATCAGCTATTTTGTAAAAAGTCTAGGCTTTTTATAAAATGCCGCCTAATCGTTACTTTTGAGAATTGTGCTGTAACATCCTAAGATTTTTTTAAAAAGTTATTATTGTGATTTGTGATTTTTTTTCCATAAAAAAGGTTGAAAACCAAGAAATTTTACAAAATTAGGGGTAGCCATATTACAATACAGCTGGTGACAGAGTCTTTTTTTAAATAAAATCTCACAAACAGCATATAGGCTGAACATAACGAAATTAACTCAACCGTTTTTTATTATACCTAAATTTGTCCAGCCTAATTACAATTTCGGAGTCTTTTCTACAATAAAGCAGTGTTTTGTAAAAGACTAGAATTTTACAAAATGGGCAACTGTATTGCGATATAAACAATGATTTCAGATACTGAAGTACTGTAGCTCCACATGAAAATTTCCACCTCCTACAAAACATATCACAATATTTAAAAAGTTAAGTATTCATGTTATTCCACCACTCCCTCAGATGGGTAGGATTAAAGGCGTTGGTTGGAATTCCTAACGGGATGAGCTAATAGGGGAAGTTAAACATCAAACATTTACTGTTGCCATGGCAGCCACTTAGGCAACAAACAGTGGAATGATTGAAGTACTCTTCATAATTGTGTTGACGATACTCTTGTCTGCAAGCTACTCAGAGTTGGCAAACAATTAACGATGGCTAACCAGTTGTCAACTTCATTAACAACTTTTTGGCATTTTAATGGTGAAGACCCACCAAATTGGAAGCTGCAATAGTCTCTGATTTGGGAATCCAAAATAAAACTAAAACTGGATGCTATTTGAGTTTAAAATAAATGCACCTTTGTAAATAAACAATTTTTCAATGTTGGAACATATGCTTCAGAATGATTTTATTTGTTTTGGTTTCTTTCTTAATTAGATTGAGTATTTTTTTTATTAATAATTTTTCTTATATTTACATTTCTAATTATTTTTTTTAATGTTTGATCAAGATACATATACATTTAATTTGATGAGCCTATGAAATTATCAATTTATTGTATATAGGGCTTACTTAGTACCATTGATTTCTTTAGTCTTGGCCATAGAAAACATTCATATTTTCCGTAAGGACAGCCTGATCACCTGAATGGTAAAAAGAAATACCACTTTGTATAAAGGCGCACAAAAAAACATTAATAATTATACACAAAAGTTAATTAATAGTATATTTCATTACTAGGACCGAAAGTAGCTTTTTCTGTCGCGCGCTCAAGTTTTTGTGTTCGGCTTCGCCTCACACAGGGAACATCAATTTCATGTGCGAGGCGAAGCCGAGTATGTGAGAGCTATTTTCACGTACGAGGCGAAGCCGAGGACGGGAATAATGGAGCAAGTGCCGGATAATGACTTTCAGTACGAGTTATGAACAATACTTTTCATCACGACGCAAAAATACACAAACACAGAATAGCAGATCTCAGTAATATTACAACTATTTTATTTCTCAATTAATTTGATTGAACATCAAAAGAAAATAAAATAACATTTTCTAAAAGGAAACCTACATATATTTCTCAATAAATTTTGTTTAGATATAAAATAAAAGAATAAAACAACTTTGAACGATACATACAGCTGATTCAAATCATTAAAGTAAACCATAATAAAACACTAGCGCACGTAGTGAATAAATGGAGAACTAATTGAGAGCGAGGGAGACTGGGAGAGTAAATATAGAGCTTGGGAAACGACTACTTTCATTGATGTCAGCTGTTATCAAAAATAGTTACTTTCGTTACGGAGTGATGAAATAGCTATTTACCTTACAAGTGTAGTAAGAGCGTTTTTACATCACGCAGGTGAATGTTGTGCAACGAGCGGAAGCGAGTTGCATAATTTACCGAAGTGATGTAAAACGCTCTTGCGTAACGTGTAACGTACAAGATTTTACCTGACCCGACAATATACAGGAGGTTACGAACAATATTTTTCATTATCCATTTCACTCATCTTCTAACAGTAACGTTCATTTACAAACAAAAGCTAGGTTAGGAAAATTCTTCGAAACATAACAATAAAATTCAAGCGCACAGCTGATTTCTAGCGTTGAACGTCGTTGGCTCCATAGAGGTATATTTTTTAAGTTAAGCACTCAATGTTATTTAAATGGGTTTCATTACATCACCGAGAGTTTTTTCAACTTTACATCACTCGAGAAGTAACGAAGTTATATACATCACGCTTGAGATAGGGAAGTTTAACATGGCGGGTTAGGTAAAATGTTTTACTGTGACTTCTAGCATTTTCAACAAAGAAGATTTCAACTGACGTCAAAAAAGGCGATTTGAACATTTAGAATACCCTATATTGCTGCCTAAACTGAGAAAAGATGAGAAACGTTTTAACATATATTTCAGAATGACAATGGAATGCAAATTGGGTACAAATAGACATTTTCGATCAGAAGCTCAATTGTCATTTTGGTTGCTTGGAGTCCTGGACACAAAATGACTCATCGCACCGGCACCGCTGGGTGGTGAAATGGAACATGCTGCATCTCGGCAGTGCGGTAGTTTAGGGCAGTATACCGCTACCGCTCGCACCGCTCCGGTGTGGTCGATTGCATTTACTTCCATTGTGCTAAATCACCACACGAATATCACACTGCTACTGCACCACCGTACCGCTCCAGTGTGTGCACCCCTCTAGGAAGAGACTAAAAACGTCCTTCGTACCGTCTGATGATGGCTCCATGTAAGAGCTGAAACTATACACCACTACTGAAACTAATACATCAGAAGCTTAATTATTTCAGTAGCTGTTCCTATTCATCACTTGTGAAAGTTTCACTAAACAGAACAACCCTTGTGTTTACCTGGGGCATACACAGGCCGAGCATGATGCTGGCGAAGCCGAACAAGTTTCCGAGCGCAGTCTTGGTATCCACAGCCACTTGTATCCACTTGTTGAGTGTCTCGGCTCTTTCTCCCTCCGTCGAGCAAGTGAGGATTGTCACAGCCACTAGCAGCTTCAGACACTGTGTCCTGGGAAATAGAGACAACTATTGTTTTTAAGAGATATTGAGGTACAAGGGGTTTTTCATAGGGGTGACACAGTTTAAGGTTGTAATTTTAAGCTAGTAGCACTGTGTTTACAGGATAAATAGTGGATTTTTGTTATTCAATAATATTTATTGTTGTGGCGCGGTTGAAAATGTTTTAATTGATAATAAAGGTTTCAAAAGTTGCGTAAATTATTAACACTTTTCAAGCACTGTAGCATTATTTGGTAATGGTAACTATTACTGTTCAACAATGAAAAACTTATTTATAAATTTAATGTAAACAAAAACTGTTTTATAGTTTAATGTAATGGGTGTCAGGAGGATGATCCAGTACCTCCCTCGTAGTCGTGTGACACAAATTTCCTGATGGCGAAAGGCATAGTGTAATGCAGGAATTTATGTCATTTAGACAATCGTCCTGTAAATTTTGTCAGGTAAATTTGACCTGCTCCAGTCTATCAATCTTTTTAAAATTTGTTTGTTGATAACTCTAGAAATCCCTTTTCAGTAAGCCAAAATAGTTTTGGTTCTGTTGGATTACAATGAGACTGCTATAGTTTAATAATGGTTTAATGTTGAAAAAATTAACATTTAGAATTTTCAAGATGAACTATAATTTTCTTGTTCAACGTAATTATCTAAAGACATTGGGCCAAAAATGAACAATAATGTTTTTGTGGTCAGCATGTAGGCCTAACTCAAAAGTTAATTTCATTATAAAAAATAATTTAGATAAAAAAAATTAAAATCATAAGTTAAAAAACACATACCTTTCAATGATGTCTAGTCGTATCTGACTGCCAATGGGCAACGCAGCCATTTCTATTCCAGATTTGACTCCGACACCTGTCTCACCCTCCCAGGGTCTACAAGAGTCTGAACCCACAGTCAACTCAAGGTCCATCCTGGTCAGATGGTTAGCAAGGATACGAGATCCTGTCTCCTGCAACATCATTCTGATACCCTGCAGTGCAGTCGCATCCAGCGGTTTGTTCTCAGATGTAGGAAGAAGAAGTGTTTGGAAGTTTTCAAGATCGAAAAACGTCGGAAACTCTACATTAACTGCCTCCAAGGCCAGGGAATCTTCTACAGCCGAGTCGTACTCAAAGGCTTTTAGAGTTGTTGAGGAACAGGAAGAAGTTAAACCTTGAGAGTGGATATATCTTGGGTTTTTGATTACAACTCCGCTTGGCCTCTGCGGAAGCGTCGAGCAAGGGGTGGTGGATTCTGAAGCGTCTCCGGCAGCCGAGCTTTGAGCCGAATCTCCGGATCCGTTTCCAGAGTCACTGCCAGAAGCGTGGTATGACACCACTCTTTGGAATGTTCCATGACTATTGATGGGATAAGGAATATCTGTGAGGGTTGTTGTGCTTTGCCTCGTATCATCGATATCACAATCGAGAGGATTGCTTTCAGACCTTAAAACTGATGGAAGTCTACTTGGTTTTGGAGGAGGATGGCTTTCTGATCCGTCTTCGTGTTTGGAATCAGGACACTCAAACCTTCTCCTTTCTAAACAAGGACTTAGAGCGGGATCACTGGTAACTCTGACGATTTTAGAATTTCTTGGTACAGTCGCAGTTCCGGGAGTTATAACTGAGGTCTTTGAGGAATTCAGCCCGGCTGCCCTAGGTAAGGAATGTGTAGAAAACTTGCCATTAGTAGAAGGTTCTTGACAAGACCTGGTCATCGGAGAGTCTAAAATAACTCCGTCTGCACTATTGCTCCTCTCGTCAATTGATCCGTGAGTACTCAAGGAAAGTCCTCTTCCATTCATTTCTGAAGGGGTCAGCGAATGACTTCTTTGTTTTTTGCTGGGTAATCTAGGAGGTATTTCACGTTTTGTTCGAGGAGGTGAATGGACAGGACTCCGGTAACTGTTGTAGGTGTTGAAGCGCAACGTTCCACCGGAAGCTAGAGGAGAGGAGGCGATAGGTGATATTGCTGGAGTCCCTCCGCCCATCTGGTGATGAAGAGCGTATTTGGTGGCGTAGAAGGAGAGGGGATAGAGTCGGTTGCGAGGCGCTGTAATACGAGCACCAGAGGCAGTAGAGATAGGCTTTCCGCTACCCACGTAGTAGGTGATGAGGTCAGGTACAGTGTCAAACGCATCATCTTCAAACTGGTATTGCACACGCTCGTAAACTGTGTCTGGCTGAATCACAACCTACAAACAAACAAAATTAAGGTTAACCACTTAAAAATGATAAAACTACAATGATAATCTTACATTTTGGTTTATTTTAATTTATCATTATTTTGGGTGTATGTCAGTGAAATTTATTTTTTTACATTTTACTTAAAGAAGCGAGTGAAACCATGATTTTGTTTATGTCTAGTGACGAGCCTAGTTTAAAAAGCACCAGTTATATATTTTGGTAAACCATTTGCTAATCCTCATAGGAAAAAAACCTAAAAACAGACAAACAAAGTCACAGCACCTAGGTCTATAATTTATCTTTTATAGGATTCAACCAACAACATTGAATTTTAAGAAGGACATGAAATTCGCTCAATGAATCAATGAAATATTTTGACTTAAGTTTCCCTCAACATTTATGATTTATAATTGTTTAAGCTGAAGAAAAGCAAAATCCTAGAGCACCCTCAGAAATCTTACCACCCCACAGCTAGTTAACTACTTAACTATATCTTTCAGCATCTAAGCAACATGAAGAAACTAACCTTGTTGATAACAAAGTGCAGACCCTGTCCTTTACTGCGGCAACTCAACACATAGTTGCCCGGCTGGGACGTACAGTCTCGCACCAGAAAGTCTCCGTTTTCCTGCAGAATCTCGTCGGCACGTGTGCGAGGGATGGCTCCGTGATACCAAGCGTGTGATCGCAAATCTCGTGTGTCTAGAGACAGCTCCCACTCCAAGGCCTTCTTGAGCTGCACCGGATCTGCTGTGGGGTCTGGCGTCGCCTCCTGCAAAATGTGAGATAATTGTAGACAGTTGTAAATACAAGCATGTGCGTACGGAAAAGATTTATACAGTGCAAAGTAGATTAAGATGATGCTCCCAATGTGGTACAGAAGAGTGGATGAGATAACCTGGAATAGCTGGGTATATGAACTGATAAGAAAATATTTCAAACCCAATTGCAGATTATTCTTAAATACTAAGCGGATGGGTTTTCTAACAGACACATTAAAGTTCTACTTTTCGTTTGAGTGCAAACATTGTGGCTAACAGAACATAACCAATGTTTTAAAACACTGATGAAGCAGGGTCAGGCAAAATGTCAGACTTTCCAAATCCAATTGTCTATAGTTATTTTCAAAGTTCAATGATGCTGGTTCGCAAGCTCATTCAAAAAAACATAGGTTTATTCGTTTGTACCGAATTCAATCAAAGTTAGATGATTTTTGAGTTATGGTGCTTATGTAAACGTACACAATTAGGTACATGAATTTGAACGGGTGGAGTTTTTGGCCCCTGGGGACATTAAAACATAAGTGGAGTGGTGAAGGGTCTAGGTCTTGCCATGAGGCGTACGCTAATAGCTATTAATTATTCCCTATGTGGTAAATTCGCTAAAAAACTAAGGGATGAAAAACCATTTCAACTGTAGCACACTCTGTTGTTCATTCAACTATGTACTATTTTAATGAAAAATTGTCTACAGCTGGTCCATGTAGATGAATGTCTCTTCAGTACCTATTCAAAAGTCAATAGTTCAACTTAAAAATACTTAAACATTTTATTTAACATAACATTGTTAAAAAGAATCCGATGTTTTATTAACCTAAATTAACCTAGCTCTAAACTTTCAACCTATTTCATGGCGATTTGATTCATTTGTAACTGCAATTCAACTTAATATTGCGATTAAATACCAATAAACTGTCTAAATAAAATAGATCCTCCCATTCAATATACTCCCTTATAAGGATAAGTTTGGTTTCCAGTTTCCAGACATATTATAGCAGGCCTCCCATTCCACCTTATTCAATATTCTAAACACAAAGCAAGTGGCCCTCGATATTATCCTGGGACTGCGTTTTCCCTGGAAATTGTTCTTTTCTCCTTTCTTTAGCTTGCATTTCCCTCTTGATTGCTTAAATATTTTGTCAGACATGGTAAAAATTGCTGTGATATCAGCATTTTCTTATGTTAATACCTTAAACAACAAAGACATTGATACCGCAGAAAATAAGACATGCGAATTGAGATTGTACAGGTTATTGTGAGGTTACAAAATATCAAAATAAATTTAAAAGAGTTTTGTTTATGTTGACAATAATTGTTTATATAGGTACAGTATTTTATAATAACCTTTTTAACATAAATTAAAAACCACAAATAAACCATGATATTGGTTATTATGGTAGCTACTATAAATTTTATAAAACTATAATTTTTTATGGATGAATTAGGTTCCTAAAAGCTCAGGAAAATTGGAAGGGTCATCATGATTTTTCTTCTTTACTATAACCTTTTTGTAACAAACATAAAGCTGGTTTTCTTTATGGTAAAAAGATAATCTTTTTCCCGTTCCTCAACCTCAAATTATTAACACAGGGTTTTATTTTTTTTACTGAAAAAAGTACATGCAATAAATACAAATTGAGAAGTTTCTTTAATGACATGATTCTCCAATAACTCTTGAAAAGCAGATATACCACTGCAATGCATACTGGTTTGAACATTGCATGATAAATGCATGCAAATACGCTGCATGCTTGTTATTATGCAATTCAAGAATTAGGTCAGGGTCAAAAGGGTTTATTCAATTGATTTCCCAATACCAAGATGAATTATGAACCAAATAAAATTAAAATGAATTTCAAACTTTTAGATCCATTATCTTGCATCTTTAGTTTCAAGACAACTTTTGACCTACATGAATTTTAGCAGTGTCAAATTATCAGTGCAATGTAAAGACCAAATAAAAATGAAACTGAGTATAGTATCCAGAATATTTAAATACAAGGAACGCATTTTGATAATAACACAAACTGTTCTTATTTGTTCGTTATGGAACACATAGCCTATTTTATTTTTTACATAATCATGTATGTAACAATTATTAAATTATATTTTTAGTCCATCATTTGCCTGATTTCTGTAGCCTGAGAAGTGAAAGCTTGATAACATTTGTGTTTAATTATTTGTAGAAATATTTTTAGATTTTCATTTTACATTCCTTATTTTGAAGGACTGCTTTTAGATATCCAAAGCATGTTTCTCTATGGCATCCATAAACCCATGAACTTTTAAGACAACTACAAGTAACACCCCCATAAACCATATACTTAAAATGTTCGCCATGACGAAAAACCTTGCGCAAAACTACCCATTATTTCATAAATTGCCCTTTAAGGTCGCAATTTCTTTCTAAAGGGAACTTTGCTATAGTTTAATTTCTAAACCTTTTCCCCTACAATTTCAGAATCTTATGTGTGCATACTCAGTACCTATAATGGAAAATAGAGCTTTTCTTGTACACTCATATGTACAAGAAAATACAATTGCCTAGCAACAAAATTCAATTTTTTTTAAATTTATTTAATTTACAATTTTAAATGAAAATCTTACAAACGAACAAAGACAATATCAAAATATGTTGCCGTAAAGAATGTTACATAGAAAAGGCAAAATAGTTATGAAATTATTATAGAGAGCAAATAAACTCGTAGAAGTTACAAGCCCTTCAAGTAGTGCATTTGGACTGTGCAGTTGAAAAATACATTTTGTGTCAGAACATGTTTCAAGACTAAATTACTGAAAGGTGGACATAAAGAAAAAGAGAAATAGAATATAAGGAATGGAGAAGAAATGAGGATTCAGCACAAAACAAAGATAAGTAGCTCATTTATTCAACTCTCAAGGTTAAATTCAATGATCAAATGATCCAGTTATGATTTAATAGATGCTGAGAAGAATATATTTTCAAACAGCTTCATATTAGCTGTAGCAAACGATTGGAGTCTATAAAACAATAGGAATCTTTAAGGCACAGATGATATTATTTTTAAGTCCTAAGCCTGGGTGAGATTAAAGTCTGGGGGGGATAAATAAAGTCTGCAATAAATTTCACAAATAGCAGTACAAACTCAGTAGGTAGCAAACAGTGGAAGGGAACTTTGGTAAGAACATAACTTTTCAAATACTTTTGAATTACCTTATATACTGCATATATTTTATATAAATGATTCAAGAAACTTATCTTGATTTCTGCGAGGTTAAAAGGTTGAAACTTGAAACTGAACTGTTTTTGTCTTTTTTATATTCAAAAGCTGAGTTTCAGCTAGGTATAGGAGGTTTTCTGTTACTTTGGAAATGCGCAGTTGCTACAGAAATCAGTTCATACAGCACAAGAGAAAGTCATGAACATGACAAAACACTGGGCATAAACAATACTGAATACCAAGGATAACTAACTGGACTCTGTTCACTGTGAGAATTTCACCTCTACACTAGGTCAACGAATAATATTATGCCATGAGAGAAAGACTTTTGCATGGTTCATTATTTTTTGTTGACTAAGATATTGACCTAATATCTATGAAAATGCATCATCGTATGGTGACAACATTAGATTTCTTTTGGATTATTCTTTTGTTTCCTAAGCCTCATAACTCTTCCCAGTTTTTGTTTGGTCCTAGGTCCTTGTATTTTATCTAACAATAATTGGAAAACAAACATGACAAAAAACTTTTAGTAAAACAAACCTAAATATAAGGTAAATGTCTACTTGCTTCATTTAATTTTGTCCAAAATAGGTTCAATGAATTCATATTGGTTTGTAGCTACAAAACAAAAACATGTTTAATCTTGTTAATTTTAAAAGCGTACCATACTGTGAATTAAAGACAGTTTGTCAATTATTATATACAGTATCTGTAAACAAGCAATCCTCATAATTAGTTTATTATCCATGTAGCCTTTTGTAATTTAACATGACTAAAGACAATAAATAGGACATGAGGGATGAGGGGATCAAAGATTACACTAAAAGATTTGGACAGAACAGACAGATTTCAATACTTCAAGTCACACACTATTAGATTACTCGATTCTAATATTTACATTTAAAAACTAAAGAAACAAACCTACCAAAACAATTATTTACCTAGAACTTCAAATGTATTTTGATCGATGTGATATACTGTACCATATGGACAGGATTTAAAAAAATTGAACAACCACAACACATCAAACCCTCCTTGACCAGTCTGACCTCTTGATTTAGTAAATTGAAGTAAGGATTGATTATCATAGAGTTGATTAGAAGAGTAACAAACTATCTAGGTCTGCTGCAAACATCAAGCCTGACAAAAAATATCTCGAGCAATTTAACAATCGATTATCCTGCAACAATTTGATTCCACTGCCCTTGGTATAGTTAAAAAGCCAGCAAAATTAAGTACCTTTTACAGATCTTCCATTGGAAATACTAGAGAATAAGTGCCCACATCATATTATATCAGTTCAAATAAGTCCAAACATTTATCACATGACAAAAATACCTTTAAAAGTTTAGTTTAATTCAACATAAGAAACATCTACTTTAATCAAGTTAAAACTAATTTGGTGCAAATAAATAAGTAGGCCTAAATATTTCTTGGAACAGTATTGAATTAAAAATGTAGCCTACTATGGTATTTTTGAAAAACATATTGCCAAACTAATTTTATTCCTACCCACCCTTTTGTTCATTATGCACCCTTATTTTCGCCCCATTTACCACCCTTAGCTTTTGGAGCTTACTGAGACAACTCATCTGTTCCTAGTTTTGAAAAAAAATCCAAAATAAAGCGGCCCTGAAGATGCCAACAAATGTGAAAGACAACAGACTCAGTTTCATTACTTTGCTGTCTGGCTGAATGCACAAAATATACCAAATGAGAGTCTACCTAGGTGGTGGAGATGAATATTTATGTCCTCCCGTGAATAATGAATAATTCACCAGACCACTAAA